ACAATATTCATCTTTGACCCTTGACCTGGATATCTCGTAGTTAAGTTCAGCAGTATCCATCTCTTGAGACGCGACTTTACGGTCATTATTTCTCAGTTCACTCACAAAATATTTTACTTCAGCAAACTTATCAAGCCTAACTTTTGAAAGACAGTGGATTCAGGAACTTCCCCAATTAAAGTATTTCATGTAGAATCTGAGGTTCAGTGAACTGTAGCACTTTTGAATAGTTTCAGCATCAACGCAACTGATCTTTTTCAAGCAATTTCCAAGAGAAGGAAAAATATCCGAATATGAAGTCCGTCTCTTATCATGATAAGATTCTTGATACCGTTGAATTAAAACTGTTCAAGAAAACAACTCAATGTTGGCACAATATGAAAGCCCCAAAGATCAAACTAAACTTAGTATGTTCAAGCTCCACTTCAGTATCCCAAGGATATTTCCTGCCACATAAACAGTTATATAAAAACACACTGAATGGTATACACTGTAATTGTAAATGAAATGGTTTTACTTAATATAAAGAGATATGGAGGAAGTAGCCACCTTGTCCGACGACTTAGTGAGCATTATTGTCCATGAGCTGGTTTAAATAGGCAACGGAAATAGGGTATATTTATATTGGCATCTTTCAAAATGGTATTTAGATTACTTGAATGTGACATAACTGGACAGAGTCCACATTCATGTCCCTATCAATAAAGTGACTATTATGCTGACAATGGAGAAGGCTGTTAGTAAGAAGTTTGTACTTCGTTTTGTTCAGAGGTTGAGAAGTCTGTGAATTCGAAAATGACCACTCAGGATGAAACAAGAGTTTCCTATGAGGTTGAGACATAACCTGATAAGGATTCTTGACTTAGTGTATCAGCTAGCTACTATACAGTAGATCGAATATGATTAGAATGAATGCAAAATGTTCACAGAATCATTCATGTCTAAGAATTTCCTGTTAATATAGACGTGCCAAGGTCATTAGGAACTTTAGATACTGAAAATCCAAAATATTAGATGAGACCCACTTCTGGCTTCTTACACACGTGACCAGTATAATCACTACAACTGAGCTTACACACTTAAACACCGAACCATACTCACTCCTGTTTATAGAGCAGTGTCACTAGCATGCACTTACTGAAATAATAACTTCTGATGGTGGTACTAGGCTTGAAAGAGAAGTTTTCGATCAGGATAGCAGCCCAACACCTTACGACTGAACTTCAAAGTCACGCAGAAAGCAATGAACTTACTTTCTACACCTTAAAGCGTATGTTCTTTACGTATGAAATTTTCGAAACTACATACACAACTGGGTGATTTCTCCCTAAATATGTAGTTGATCGAGTGGTGTCTACGTTTTCTGTAAATAAAGATGTCTCCAGGATCAAATCTACACATCATTAGCCTGTTCACTAATGTTTCGACTACTTTTTGACAGCTTGTAGAGTGTAAACATGGTGTTCCGTCCTTTAAATTATAAGAATATTCTGGGACGTATCGACAAACAAGTGACAAAATTATCTTGACGGTACGGGTTCAGGCTCCGAGCGTAATATCTAAAGTAAACCTATCTTCACCTTTCGTAATATAGGCGACTCAGAAGTATCGCCTACTTCCCGCAAAAAGTTTGCTACATTTTTAAGACCACCAGAAACATATACAAACAGTAAGATCTTAAACAAAGTACTATTTACCATTCTTTATCTTGTTATTTAGTACTAGGTTGGAACGATGACCGTCGTGGAGAAGAGGACCTAGTTTAATACAATATATCACAAATTTTACCACAGATACTGAGGCTGCTGATAAACTTAAGAGTTTGGCAGACCAATTTTGTTCAAAGATTATTAAGAAAGTACTACAGCATATTGAATGACAACCAACATAAGCCCTTAAATGTTTTACTGAAGTACGAATATGAATATTACACTGGATCACTTAGGACAAACTTGCGCGCTATTCAAAGTAGACAGTGGTGTTCGTCGTCGCTCAGTAAATCTTTTAGTTACGATTGTTTCCTGACATGTGATAGTTCCTTTTATGCCTTACTAAAGTAAATTTTCATCTACAGTAACGTGAAAGTTATGGCCTGTTGTGTTTTTTCTGTGTCGGCCACTGTTACAGGTTACAGCACCGGACTCACACTGGTTGCATATCAGAGATGTCGCAAGCCTTGATCACGTTAGATGCATTAAGCACGCTACTTTATAAAGCCTTTGCGGATTTTTGCAGTGAGCCTTACACATTTAAAACTCCATCCTCAGATAAACAGCCAGCAGCAGATGCTTTAGTACCTGTCATATTACGAAAACCGAGAAGCGTTATCATGGATCCAGCTTTAGATCCAAATAAAATATAATGTAAGAGTCGGAAAAACACAAATGTAGGCGACGCCGCAAGAGAAAAGAAAAAGTGTACAAAGAAGAAACAAATTACAGAGAGATGCAAAATGTGTGAGTCGGCAGACCCGTCAACAGAATCTCTCATCAACACAAAACAAAACACGCAGGAGCAAAGTCTGTACTCTGAAGAAGATTTGACTAAGAAGCAATAAACTTAACTATTGGCTATTAGCACTTACAGAATTAAGTGAAAAAAGTAAGACCAGCGCATATTTTTCGAAACTAAACTGCGGAATTGAGGAGAGTTTAGAAAAAAGCTCAAAGCCTATGAAGACATATCTCTTAGAGAGGTCAGTGATTCGCCACAAGTAAAAAGAGTCTTCCGAAAAAGAACCAAACTCTAGATATCAACTCAATTTAAGCCATGTCAATTCCCTTATGGGAAAGCTACTTCCTGGAATAGTAACAGGAGTCAGCATTCATAAGCTTTACAGAATGGGACAGAAAGTGGGTTCCAAAAGCACCCGAGTAGGCTGTCTCTTGACGATTGGTAGAAGCAGCAATAAATGAGCGTCGTCGGAACGGTTCAGAGCAAAATGATCCACACACCACTCTAGGTAGTACGAGAAAGCCCTTCATAAAGTTAAAGGCATGCTAGACATATGCTCATAGCATACCAAATAAAATAATGGAGGTCAAAAACGTGGCGGACACAGAAGACCCCGATGTCACTGCCATCTCAGAAACATGGCTAAAATCAAAAGTGTATTATGGAGAAATTGATTTGCTTGGTTTGTTATTTTGTACGTCTAAAAGGACAAAAACGTAGGATTTTTTTGATTACCCTATAAATGAAAAATACCTTAACCATATGAGCCTTCAAGACAGTGGTGCATGACCCAGGGACATGTAGGTTGGCACGCTGCCGGCTGAAATCCAAAGTCCAAGACATTAAATTAGTTGTAGTACACCGCATTTCGTAATGTGTAATGAATCCCTTCCCCGTAAATAAGTTGAAATCTTGTTTAAGTAAGTGTAGAAGCCTTATAGTAGTTGAGTCTTATGTACCCTCTAATAATTGGGGAAGCATAGAGGCAGGGTCGCGAAGAACGTCTTTTGACCATGAATTATTAGAGACCGCAATCGTCCTAGAACAATGTAGATTCCTACAGATATGACCTACGGTACTCCTTATCTGTCTTAGACTTGGTCTAAACGCACGTTCATGATGTCAGTCGATAATGGAGCAACAGAAATGACAGTTCACGTACATCAGTTACATAACAAACAACACCACTAGATTCTCAGGTTAATTATGGAGGAGAGTGGACCTAAAATGATAGAGAAAGACAAGGACAAAGAGGGTTATTTAGAAACAGTTTTCACTAAGGAGCTTCTTCTAGACAAAGGACCACATTCAAATACAAAGTCATTGAATGGGCTACTCACTGTGGACTTTGATAGAGACGACGTACTAATAGATCTAAGCACTTAAGACTAAGAAAAATCAGCAAAGTGGGATTAAAAATACAAAAAGAATACATGATACAAATTGTATAGCGCTTCGCTGCATGGCTGACCACAATATTCAATACGTCACTTGTTCAAGGTGGGTTGCTACGGGCTGGAAGAATGCATTTGTCACTACTGTTCACAAGACAGGGTCAAGGCGACTACTTTCGAGCCAAAAACCTGTCATCCTCACCAGCGTCTCATTTAGAATTTTGTAAAGAATAGTAAAAAGGCCATAATAACCTTCATGGAAATCAACAACTTGTTTAACAGTAAACAACATGACTTTACGAAGGCTTAGATTTGCACAAAAAATCTGTTTACAGGAAGAGAAGTTGGTGTGGTTGCTAGGTTATGGAAACTCAATGCATGCTGTCTAGGTCCCTTACTTCTCATGCTATATGTAGATGAACTAGTGAGTATCGTCAAGCCCCTACACGCTGATTATGTAAAAATTTGGTGGAAAATAACAAACGATGCAGTTGTGTGCATCCGCTTAGACGTTCTGATCAGCTTGTTCAAAAAATTGCTGATAACCATCAACCCGCAAAGTGTTTCTGTATGCATACTAGGGATACAAAAGCGAATACGTAAAGGATTGGAAAGAGTCCATGCCCGTAGGTCGGTCTCACTATGGGGAGACAGTGAGACACAGTCTTAAGACCATGACCCACCGACATGCGGTTGATGCTAAGATGTTCATAACCCTATGAACCTTAAAGCAGACATGTATCAAGTTGGATACTAGTATTTTCACAACAATATACACAATTAGTGAAATCCAATATTGCAAACAGCTTGAGCTGCAAGCCTCTGTTTATAAGGTGAATCATACATCTCGTTAAAAATCAAGGAGGGCGGCTGCCTGTTCGATTCCAGAACTCCGGGACAAATTATCAGTGGCATACTAGTTTCCAATAACTTTTATCAACTCTTGGAGCCTGTTACCCGAAGTAGTGACCCTACCTTCAAATGACTAATACTAGAGGATCCTCAAAATTCTCAGAAGCTTACTAGAAATAGAAAGATATGGATCACAGATCTTCTGTCGACAATGCTCGAATCGAATAAAAGTCAAACTAGGTGTTGGCTTGTTCAGTATTGCTGACAAATGCGGCAAGTTTGAAAGGTCTTCAGCGCGCGATGTCAGAAATGGAAGTTGATGATACAGGGACAGTGGCATCCCTCAGTGAGAATAAGAAACGTTTCGAGATAAAAAAGTGGTATGCCGTTGCTTTATGGGCCTGGGATATCGTTGTTGATAATTGTGCTATCTGCCGGAATCACATAATGGACTTATGTTTGCTTGGGTTATTCTCTGCTCATATTAAACATAATAGGTATTGAATGTCAAGCTAACCACGCCTCTGCTACAAGTGAAGAGTGCACTGTTGCTTGGGGTGTTTGTAATGTGAGTTGAATTTTGCAGTATTTAATCTTCCACAAAGCATGCTTTTCATTTTCACTGTATATCCCGATGGTTGAAAACAAGACAGGTTTGCCCTCTAGACAACCGTGAATGGGAACTGCAAAAGTAAGTGATAGCTTCGTCTGTACTATGTTTCATTTTAGATATGGCCACTGAGTGGACCTGGTGATTATTTTTTGACTTGTCAGTTACGGTTGTACCTGTTCAGATAATAAAATCATTAGACACAACGTTGTTCTTTTTTATTACTTTTGTAACGTTCTCTACATTAATGCAATGTTTTAGACGCATGGGGAGTTGGTGCTGTGGTCTTTGTGCAAATTCAGGAAGTGACGAAGTGAGTACTGAACGGTTTTAAAACAATTTGGAGAAAACATTTTGTTTATTTCGAGTAATCGTTTTTCTAGCCCAGCCAAATGCCATTAAGGTTGTATGTTTCATTGCTTAAGACAGAATTCTTAAATTGTTGTACTTAGCGTGAAATGTTATCATACGATATAGTCTCAGAACTCAACAGTAGTACACAAACAATTCAGAGTGAGACACTATGAGTAATCGAAGTTCAAATCATAGATTTGCAGTTGTCGGTAACTTTGTTTTAATCCCCCTGTTTCCAAGATGTTCACAATTATTCAGAACCGAATCACTATGATTTTCTATTAGATTTCTCACTAATGTACTCTTCCAATTGCTTTGCGTATAAGTTGACACCCATATAATAAGTGACGTTAAATCACTGAATGATAGCTTGCAGCAGTTAGCTTACATAGAAAATATTGATTGGTGAGATATCCACCTTATCTTTCTTCAGCAGATTTTGGCGAATAAGTACTATCATACATTTCTAGCGATGTCTTTTGTACATGAAGATATCTGACTGTTACTAATGCACTGATAGCCTATCAATCAAGAGATGATCCAATGGCTATATCACAATAATAAGGGCGTTCTACTTTAAATCTCTCAGTTGTTTTAAATGTTTTAGTCAACCATCATGCAAAATAATCTAGTAGGTCCATAATCTATACTTTTTATGTTTCCAAGTGCTTAAATTTAATTTTGATTGTAATACACTTTTATCTAGCTCCTGAAGTGCCTGAACGACTTACTACTGTTAAGAAGAGGGGCAAAAAATATTCAGTCTTATGAACACTACAATGACAACAGTGTTTAAAGTGGATTTACAACCACGAACTACAGTATTTCGCTTCGTAGTTGATTGATACATGCCTATTTTGCTAGTAGAGAAAGGAAGATCATGTGATTTATTACATGTTCTTGATACATGTGAATTTTAGTTCATTTCTACTTATTTTCTCTTGCTGTGCTGTGACAAAGTGTGGCTTTTCGAATCAATGCACTTATTTGCTACTTTACATTGATATATTGGGTAGTCGGACCACCTCTTTGACCTTGTATTATTCAGGATAGATATTATGTCTGTTGTGTTGTGTAGTAGATTACCTGGATCAGACTAAAGTAATTGGGCAGTGATTACTAATGAAAACTCTACTATTGAATTAAAGCTCTTAAAAATACTCATATTAAAAGACATCACACGTAGTCGAATCATTAAGTCATTATTACGTTGCTAAATGGCGCTTTTACACTTAGTATAAAGGGAAATATTAGGACTTGTAGACAGTATGATATGTCATGCAATGAAAGTTGCTGTACACCTAATAGGTTTATCACCTCAGATATCAGATAATTTCCCATTCGTTATGATAACCTACTACTGTTCATTAATAACTAAGTTCTGCCGTGGAAAATCATTCGAGTCCTACTGATTTGAACCAAATGCGGTACAAGCAATCCTCTCAAATACAGTACGGTTTAAAAACTTTAATTGCATTCATTAGTCATCAGAGTAATCTTTTATGTAAGGTATAATGCATGTGTTGCTGGTCTTCACGTTCCGCCGAAAAATATATTCACTTTTATTTAAGGGTTCATGAGCTACGTTGTAAGGATAGTATGAACTTCAGATTGTTCTAGGATTCACTTTTTTGTGAGATGTAAATATAGAACAGTACATAATATCAGTTAAATCTAGACATTAAAGAATCTATGGTTCAGTTATGAGAGGATAAATATCGCAGGAAAAGTACCATTAAAATCAAGAGGACGTTAAAAAGAAAAGGCTTAAGAATTGTTGGATGGTAAACAGATTGATACAAAAATGGTGTGTTCACTATCCTTATCAAGGTTAAATAGGTCTATATTTATATTAACGATACCTAAGGTCTACAAACTCTAAGAGAAGAATCTTCAGATACGCAAACCACTCAGACGTTCACTCATTGGCTTCATCAATACATACTATATTTTTCTTTGCCTAACTTGGATATTCTTATCTCACCTATACTCCGACCAGCATAAGATTATTTTCTAACCAATAGTGCGACGAATGAACCATTATACATTTCTCTACTCTAGCTAATTGCTACCCGTCTTTCAGTTAGTCACCAATCGCTTAATAATCACTTGGTATAAATAAGACTAAGTACATAATTATGTCTGTGTTTTGTGCAGTTGTTTTAATCACAGTATACATTGGTGACCTAAGACTAAAGTTCCAGTCATTCTATCATTACTTCGTGCTTACTCTAGATTCTAGGTCGTTGTCGTACATCTAAGACGATTTGTTAATTAGGTAGAAAAGACTGATATATTTGTACTTACTCAAACTAGAGGTCAAAGGTGTTTTCAAGATTATGCGGTTAATTGTGTATTATTAATTAAAAATGTTTTGTAGCAACTTTTGAACACCAGTTCACTTATCATTTTCACCTTGTATGTTGTCATTGTTTATTATATCCATATTATTGTATTTATTCGGTTGATTTTATTGATGCAAGTTTAGGATGAGGAGGCTGAACGTCAGAGATTAATTCCAAGCCCTCAGCTTTCATACGATGGGACACAGCAGCCATATGGAAGGTATACAACTTTTTAACACAATTGCTATGCTCTGCTGTTGAGTTGTATATGGGATGTAATTTTACTATTTCCTTGCTAACTATTGGTCTTTTCGTAGATCATTCGTACCTGCTGTCTTAGTAAAGTGGCCGAGGTTGCACAACATGATGACCCAGTCGAGTTTATTGGCTGGGACACTCGTTCCTTTATGTCTCACCACACTAAAAATGTCGACTGGATAACAGCAAGACTAAAATTAGCAATTTAACGCCCTAAGGTAAACCCGAACTTTTGATTGTGCCAAGGTGTTACGGCAGTACGGTGTTTCCCTCAGATAAACAGCATCTGCAGCGATTCTGCTTCCCCACAACGAAAGGAAAAGGTTAGAAAAGGCTGATCTTAAAAGTAGCATACCTCTCCATGGATTTCCCTGGCGTTAAGTATTTAGTGTACGGAACTAACACATCAGAAACTCTCAAAAAGCCTGTTTGTGACCGGCCTCGAACAGCTGCACCTTAGGCTCTGTAAGCGTACTCCTGGGTCTCCGATTTCTTTTTCAGATACTCCAAAAATAGGTATTTTTCCACAACGTAAACAATCGAGAAGTTAAAACAGTTCTTAAGACAACCTTTTCTACGGCCAAGTTTTTTCGTCTCTTATTATTTATGGTGTCTCTACTACCAGCCCTTGTCCAAGAGCCTTATTCTTTTCCCCAGGTCCCACCAGTCATAATTATTTGCATTCAAAAAGTGTTATTTCTGGTCTCATTAAACCAAACTGCACCTTAGAGCTTTCAGTGTTCGGAACTTATGTCGAATCGGACAACAGACTAAAATCTTGTGCCATTGCCGGAGACTATTCGTGTTTACCTAATAACAATAAGACCAGTCCCAAAAATTGACTTACCTTTAGTGTTGGTGAGCCTTGTATGCTGTATAAATCAAAATCTATTTACTGACTACCGTTTGCCATAAAGTGGTTTCCTGTAAAGTTTAGTACATCTTTTGGTATCAACTACTAAATGAGATTCAAAAATCTGAAAAGTTTAGTGAGTTTGATCAAAGAAGCCAGTAGTGGTGGGTTTCCTTTGAGCACAAAGAATCTGGAGAACCCTAGAGGGTTTTTGAAATACAGTGATACCTAACTGTTTTCACTGTCTGACCAGTAGTAATGTAATGTTTATATTTCTTACTGTATTTTTATGACTCGATGTTACTTTGTGTGATATATCATTCCATAATAACCTTACTATTCAAATTTCGATAGGCGTAATAGAACGCATTTCATAATTTTTATATTTTTTAAAATAAAATTTTTGTCTTCCTGCTATAACTAGCAGTGTGGAAAATATTCCCTTCATGTAAACTATTTCATAGCCTTCGTCATGCATATACAATAAGTGAAATAGTTACCTAAATTTTCTACTAATTATTCTCGAAACAAACCATCTGTCACGGCTTTATTACGGTCAGTACCATATAGCATTTAATTTATGACATGAAAAAAGGACAAGAATTGTAAAGAAACAAATCAGCGATGCAACTCATTTCTTATTGTCTCTGTGTAAAAAAAATCAGGCAAAAAACACTTCATATACTTGTCAGCGTTTTGGTCGTTAACTTTGAGTTCAGATGATTTTTTGGCTTCGTACTGATCCGCTACAAATGCTGCCCATTATCAGTTGTAAGAGTTCGATTTTTCCCCTGATTAGTATTCAGGATTGGATTATTAATATAGGCTAACTGAACATAAATGCCCCAGCAATTCATGTATTTGTACGTTGTTAGCCATATAGTTCAGGACTCACAATTCGTCCTAGTAAGATCTCGACCTTATTTACATACACCTTAGTGCGTATACTTACCAGGACTATCCTAGTACCTATCAGTGTAAATGCTGAAACTGGTCTGCTGAGTCACCACAAGTGCAACAGGTATGATATTTTAGTCATAAATAACCCTGTTTCAATGCCACAATGAGCTTCAGGTTACTGGTATTAAACCAGCCCGTCCATTGTACAGATCCATCTTTTCTGTTTTCAACTCCAGGAAATATTTATGGACTTACACTTAACTTTCTACAAAGATCACTCTTGAAATCATAACTGATAATTATTGTGAGTTGATGTAAAATCTTCGATCTTATATTGATAAACGTTTTTTATAAAATTTGGTTGTCTACTTTCTAAATTACAGTTTTTCATCTCCAGATCCTGTTACAAATGAACCTCAGTCAGATATTAATACTATGATGACAAATATAATAAAAGTTGCCGAAAAGTGAGTCATCCAAATTACAAACTAATTCGTCCATGAATGTGATGATAATGATAAAAGTCTATAAAAAGTAGTTACACTTATCGCAAATTGTTTGTTTTCTGTTTAACAGTTCCTGAACCCCTTGAGATACTCGGTAATAAAAGCGCATTATCATATATTGCAGTACTTAAATCGTTTTTTCTTTCTCTAAATCCATTATATAAGGACTTGGTTCTAATAGTCTAAGAAGGAAAGGAAATACAAACCGTTGTAACATTCCACTTTCGTATCCTTAAGAAGCATGACAATGATGCTTAGTCTATATTATACGATTCTTAGCTGCTGACCTATGAGAGTGCAAACTCTCAAAACCTCTGAATCTTTTGCTTTTTTAAAATGTCTTTAGTAACCTACATACTCCTAAACAGTAATTTCTAATAAATCCGAGGCATTCAGTTGTACGAACACACTAATGACAACTCTTAAGTCCACCACTTTAACATGCAAAAAATCTGAGATGATCAGAAAATCTATTGTACAAATCACTAACAAGACAACATAGTGTTACAGAATAACCATGAAGTATCATACGATACTGCGAGCAGTAGTTAACATGATTTACAGCTGCCACACAGATCCCGAAAATATATCTGATCATGTGCATTATCTCACTGATTTCCAAGTCATTTGGGCAATAACATATGGTAAATTTCACACATGGTCTCATAAGTATATTCTTTAAACAAGGTTTAATTAACTTTAAATACTTATAGCTCAGAATTGTATTACTTTATAAGTCTTTCGATCAACCAACACTACCTACCATCTGATTAAGTTTAACTATGTGTGATATTGTCTCAAGATTGTATGCTTTTTGCGCCAAAATCGTGTATTAGTTTAATAACATTTGGTAATTTTATTTCACCTGACCTTTTTAACTAGTCAAGTGGTGGATGCTGGAGCAACAGATTACAATCCCCTAGATTCACAAGAACATATTGAGCGGTCAAGATACTACGCGTAAGTTTCCAATAGTTTCTCGTTACTTTATGAATTGGTTGGAGTCCGGGCATCAATAAGTGATATGTACATCATAAATGTTATACTAAAACGCGGATAGCACCAAGTTTAATGGAATATTACCGTCACTGGTTAGCCATCATTTGCATATCTGTGCATGTTATCTATTTTTCTAACATACAGGAAATATGTGCTATATCTAAAAAACACTGGTATCAAATTCCCAATTTTAAAAGTTGCGAATTAATAGTTGAGACACTTGACTTTCGACTCTTCGGCTGTCTAAACTTTGGTTTAAACTCGTAAAGTGTGGCTCTGATCTGGGTACGAAAACCTTTATTCAATGGGTTATGTAAAGTCAATTATTACTACCAGATTAAGTCGATGAAGTAAGGGTATTTGGTAACTCAAAGTGAAGATATGGAACTTGCCTACCATTGAAACTCTAACGATTCATTAAAGCAAATCTGAAATGTGTATTTAGAAGTGATATCTTCACCTTATTCTATTGTAATTCTAGCCCCTTTTAATTTTTCATCTATTAGAATATCTTTTTCCTCTTGTAAGCAAATCAACTCTCATACATACATCTTTACACCTTTTTCTAAAAAGATTTATTTTCGTATGCTTGATTCTGACACGTAGATTTTTAAATACTTCATAATGCAAAACTAACTCGTCCCACAGTACGTTACTGCGTATGCCGTTTAACTACTTATACTTGACAGCTTAATAAATTGACATAATCGTGAAGAAAACATTTTTCGCCCGACTCAAGGTCTTAATACCAACCATTTTGTGTAATTTTAGAGAAAGCATAGCTCGACAGCCTTTAGGCCCACCACCTTTGCCAGTGTTTTTGCCAAGAACATTTGGAAATCCTGCGTCAATCATAGATGCGCCGCTGGTGGAAATCGCTGAAATTAATGAAGTATGTCAAATCTTAATTATTTTTTATTTTTATTTATTTGAACATAAATATTGGTACACAGGGGCACCAGATATATATGCGCCACACAAATCTCAATTGATCTGTGTGAGGGCTGTGATACTGCCCAGGTGCCCAAACTGAAGCAAGTGGTTTTCTTAGGGGGCCACACCCAGAGCCTTTGACCTAAAGGCCTGATCCACAAAGCGGTTGAGCATCGTGAGGAGATGTTGTCCGAGAAAATGATTGATAATTATTACTGATTAGACAATCTTACTCATGTTAGAATAATCGGAATTGTGTAACGTCTGATGTTTTTGTCACCCGTTCTAAAGTCTATTAGGAATTTTATTCTATGTACAGTTTTGCAAAACTAAAACATTCTACATGTTATTGACACAAAGCGGAAATACTGATTATATAGAATCTTTTCTTCACATCTCAGAGCCATACCTCAGTTACGAACAAATGAAAATGCACAAACTGCATAATCTCACATGCTTCCTAGATGGTATAATATGGGAAACGTTTATATTCACCACCAGAATAGTGGCTCTCTTAATGAACACCATTGACTTTTAGTGTTGCTCCTGAGACTAATTTATGGACAATCTCTGAGAGACGTAAGAAGACCTTGAGAATATCCACCTACATACTACGGCTAAATGAATGTTATAAACTAGTGTGAGGAATTAGGGTTATTATTTGCAGTTGATAGTTGAGGTTAGGAATTAGATTCAGGTTTTTCACGAACTGGCATCAGCTACAATACCAAAACTCTATTTAGCCAAATGAAAGAATTTCATAGTAAATTTGATAGTTCGTCCATAAATTATAGACTATAATTTGTGGATAAACCAATCAGATTTAGGATAATAGGTCTTGGATTTTCGCGCGAAATTCACACACCTATTTGGCTAAACAGCCTCTTGACATTTTAGCTTGTATCAGTTCGTGATGAAAAACCGTAAATCTAATTCTTAACCCTAAACATCAACTATGGATCATAATCCTTTTTCTTCAAACTGCTTTATAACCCTCATTCAGCCCTAGTAAGTAGGTAGGTTCTTTCAACGTCACGTTGGAGTCACTCAAAGGTCGTCCATAAATTATAGTCTCGCCGTTTCGTCTTCTAGACATCTAATAACAGTCCGGATTTTCTCTTCTATAACTCAAAATCGTCAAAATGATTTGCCCTGCCCTGGTACCGAAAGCGGAACTTTAAGCCGCAACCAAACTGCATAGGTTTGACGAAACCTCTAAATAAACAGTGACATTTGCTTTTACGACTACCGCTGTTTTTAGTAGTTATCTCATCAAAAGACTGGTGAGACTAGTTTATGGACGACTTTTATGCGGTGCTCAAGTGATCTTGAGAACGTCCACTCACTTCCTAAAGGTATAAATTAGTGAGGAACTAATCAGAATCTACATTTGGATGTTATCTAACATCGGCTGTAGTATCAAAATGCTATTTAGCCATGCAGATGAATGAATATTGCACCTATTTCCGAAACTTATTTAAAATCTGGTCGGTTCTCGCACAAATTATGGTTTAGCTGCCGCTGTCGAATTTGTAATCCACTTATGCAGTTTAATTTAGTAACCTTTAGGTTCCTCAATATCCGTTAATTCTCTTGTTGATTACTAGTTCACGCAAGTATACATATATTTTCAAAAACGACTTGATATTTAATCTTGGTATTATGCATTGCAAATTAAAAGTCATCATTGAAGTCACTCTAGTATTTGGGTCCTTAGTTATAACAACATATATCCTGACACATTCTCTACTGAAATGAATCATACACTACAATTTATGAACGATTTGGAGCAGTTCGAAAACGACCTTTACGAATTCCAACCACCTGTTGGGTTCAAGACACGTTTATTGTCATCATGCACCGACACTAGGTATATGTGAGGATCATTCAGTCAGTCAGTTACAACGTAGAACTTCGTACGTACGTACATCAGTTCGAGTTGCCATACCACATTAGCACAGAGATGAAGTTGTCGATTCAAATCCCATAATGGTAGAAGTAGTAAGAGTATAAGCAGTAATCGGAAAGATTAAGGTTTGAAGATGTTATTGAAGGAGTATAACAATGAAATAAATTTGGAAAGAGAAAAAGGATACAGACATGAAGAATTCAGATTAGAATTTGGTAGAACACAAAGAGTGTATGCACCTTCGCCATTGCAAACGATTTTGAGCCATATCATTCAAGGTCTCTAACCATCGGTTGCTATCATCTCGCGAATCCCAACCAGGTAGTCTACACCTACCAACATGGCCCAGTCCACTTGTCAGTGACTTCATGGATTTATGCCATGTTTTGGTCTGGCCGCCCCTAGCTTTCTTCCAACCTACTCCTACACCACAAAACGTTGCACGTTAGGGCAGTCAGTGGTTGGGCATACGCAACACGTGCCCGAGCCACCTCAACTGATGAATTTTCACTACTTTATCGATCGATTTGCCATCCTTACCTAGTACCCGTTTCCTAACATCTGCATTACTTACCCGGTGGTCCCAGGATATACGAGCAATGCGTCGAAGACACCTATGATCGAACATTAGTAGCCTACGAATATCCTCTACTCTTATCGGCCATGTTTCACTTCCATAAAGTAGGACGGAACGGACTGCTGCACAGTAAACCCGTCCATTTGTTGCTAGACGAGCCTTCTGTATCCGTGCTGAGATTTCGTCACACACCAGACCACAAGGGCTGATGAGACTCCCAAGATAAGTGAAGCTGTCAACACGCTCAACTACTTCACTCCCTATCATTAGTTCAGGTGTCGATGCAACCCAATCCTGAAGTAACATTTTGCACTTCTAGGGAGAGAATCGCATCCCGAACATGCCCGCATTGTTGCTTATGGTGGTCAGAAGACTCTGCATTTTGTCAGCGTCTTCACCAAATAAAACTATGTCGTCGGCGTATTCTAAGTCAACAAATGAGCCTCCTGGTAAAAGTTCAACTCCTGGAGATTGAGATGATGAAAGTGTTATCTCCAAAAGCATGTCGACGACAAAGTTAAACAGGAATGGGGAGAGTGGACAGCCCTGACGAACACCACTTGAGGTAACCATTTCTGATGACAGTTCGCAATAAGCTCTAACTCGACCAGTTGTGTTCGAGTAGAGAGCATTTATGAGGTTAATGTACTTGTTTGGTACTCCTTTCACTGACAAACACTGCCATAGAACCTCACGATCAACAGAGTCAAATGCCGCCTTAAGGTCAAGAAATACTACTATTGTGGGACGTCTGAATGTATGTCTATGTTCTAGGACCTGACGTAGAGTGAATATCTGGTCTATGCAACCACGTCCAGGTCGGAAACCAGCCTGGTTTTCTCTAGTCTGCTCTTCACGAGCTTTGGTTAGGCGTCCAAGTATTATTGAAGCTAATATTTTAGACACTATATTAGTCAAATTGATCCCTCTGTGATTGTCACAAGAGGACTTTTGTCCTTTCTTATAGACTGGCACAATCAGTGATTGGGACCAGTCAGATGGAATTACGTCCAGTTCTCAGATTCTACCTAAGACCTCAGTCAATCTCATTGCTAGTACTGGATCGCCATCCTTAAAAATCTCAGGGGTAAACCTGTCAGGGCCTGCAGCTCTCCCTCGCTTTAGATTTCCTATAGCTTTTTCAACCTCGTAGAGAGTTGGAGGACTTACCTCAATTAGCCATTCAGGACGACTGGGGATCGTGGGTAACTGAATTGTGGCTGAAGGCCAGTTGAACTGATCCCTAAAGTGTTCTTCCCATCGATCCAATCTCCTAGATTGAGAATGAATGATATGCCCATCTTTGTCTGAGATAGTTTCGCTAATAGTTGGGTTCCTAATACTGGTTTCTTTAATAAGTCTGAATAGCTGTCTGCTGTTACCTATTGCCGCTGCCTTTTCCATCTCTCTTGCTTTCGCTACCCACCACTGTTCACGATCATTGCGTAGGCTTCTTATTAGCCTTCGCTTAAGCTGACTCCGCTCTTCGTTATGTTCAGAGCCCGGTGGGATGAGTTTTCGAGTATCTATCAGTGCGGTAGATGCTGTTGAGATCAATTGTTTCTCCCTGACCTTATGGCTTACCTTACTAGCGGATATCACTGCTGTTTCCACAGCTTTTCGGATGTCATTCCATGCTGCCTCGGGGTGGGCACAACTTACATGTTTGTCTAACTGTTTTTCCCGTTGTTCCTGAAATATATTCTTAGCTTGCTTATCATTAAGTAGAACCCTTAGAGGCTTCCCTGCAGTGTCTTTCCTACGTCCAGTAAGACGCAGACAGATACGTGCTCGCACTAGAGCATGTTCTGAGTCTAAACATGTGCCCCAGAATGATAGACAGTCTTCTATCTAGCCACTCCATCGGTGGCTGATAGCGATGTGATCTAATTGGGTCCAACGTTGGGACGAATTCGGGGGTCGCCATGTCAAAAGATGTTTTTCCTTATGCTTAAAGTTAGTATTTGCAAGAAATAGGCGGTTATCTGAGCACAGCTGCAACAGACGGTCGCCATTATCTGTTCTTTCCGCCATGACACCATAAGATCCACCCAGGTGTCTTTCCTTTTCACTTAGTTTACCTACTTGAGCATTAAAGTCACCAGCCACTATTACTACATCAGAACGCCTAGCTTTTCGGAGAAGGTCAGAAAGTTTCCTGTAAAACTCATCTTTTATATCGTCTGAGCTGCAGTCAGTGGGAGAGTAGGCAGAGACGACGGAGAGGCAACGACGGGTTTCCCTATCTTTCCGAGTCCTTACTGATCCGTTTAGTCGGACAACGCATAGACTGTCTACTGGGATCCAGTCTAAAAGGGCTAGTTCTGCCCTAGGACTTAATGCTATACCTACTCCAGCGAGGCCACGGGAAGCAGCATCAGGGCTTCCAGATACACGAAGCGTGTATCGAGATGGTTCTTTATTTTGATTAGGTGAGGTCTAATGAATGACACTACTCGGATCTTGTATGCGCGTTTCGGAGACGCAGCACACATCGATAATGTAAGATTCTAGAGTCCTAGCTAAGGAAGCCTGTTGTCCTATTTGGCACAATGTTCGGACATTAAAAGTTCCTATATGTAGTTTAGAGCGTGGTTTCAGGAGACCAGGAATAACGTTCCGTGTACTTGAATCGTTTGTCCTAGCGGTGAGAGGTGATAAAAGGACGTGGGAAGGGTTAGTCGTGGAGATAAGAGAGTTATTAGGAGGTGTAGGAAGGATTTGAAAGTGACCAACTTGGTCTCGTGTGCAGTTACGGGTATGAGGGCTAATATCACTTCCCCGCTCCCCACACCGTGGAAGGATGCTCCACAGCAATGTGCATCATAATAAGTGTCAATTCATTATGAAAACCTAAACCCTGAATCTTAATCCTAGCATTATAAGTCATTCACATATTGGCTATTTTCCTAATGACTGAACATGCTACAAATTTGTTACGGTCATTTAGTGAGTTGCCCAGGATCGCTCTTATAATTCAGCTTTGCCCCAAAGACATTTATCTAGAAAAAAGCCTTACTATGGTTCAAAAATCACTAGCAGCACAACTATAATGGACATGCACCCTAAATATGAAGGCTAGTGATACTACTCGACTCTAAAACTAGAGTAGGTAAAGGTTTCAAACCTGGGGCTTAGTTGCTCAGTCGAACGACTTAACTACTAAGCCACCACTCTAACCCTTGTATAACAGTATTACTTCCGCTTTGTTGACGTTTTTTGTTGATTTTATAATTTTTATTAACTAGGATGGGTTTGGTAGTTTAAACCACTATCTGATCAATGTGTACCTGAACCATGCTTTTTCAACTTATCAGACAACAGGGGTTATATCCATTTATTAATAACATATTAAAATTTCACCGAACAATAAGTATCTATTGATTACCTACGACTATGTGATACCACATTAAGACTTAAATGAAACTTACAGTGGATATCAGGACGTCTTTTCTTAAGCTTCTTACAATCATAAACATAACAAACTGGGTTATTCGAGTGCGAAATACGTTATCAGCGCTGGAGTATCCAAGCTCCATGGATAATAGAGCCTTAGATATATTAAAGAGCCGAAATATATATATATATATATCCACGATAACAATCCTTTCTTCACGTTCGTTAATCGAATGGTACTCACTTGAGTCCTAGTTTGAGTTTATGACATATGATATTCAGATAATGGATCACGAATACCAACTCTGTGTAGCATCATCCATTTCATACTTACTTCAATTTGATTATTGTATGGATTATCAATGATATTTACAATTGTATTCGTAATTTGAGTTAAAACTTTTCCATAACCATCTAGATAGTTAAACCACTTTCCCCCGCTTTGTTACAGATAAGACAGCTTGCAAAGGAAAATGCTGTATTTGTTCATGAAATGACAACACAAGAAAAGGATGATCTCATTGCCCACTTCAATCAAGCATAGAGATAAAGAAAACTTTACAAGCTTCTCTTCGAAAGTATATGCTTCCAATATCTATCAGACTATTTTATCTTTTATATATTTCTAATTTTTGTACAGAAAATCCTAAGTTTAATTGTATACAACAATTGATCTGATTATTTTTCAAACATAAAACAATAATAAAAATTAACGTTTACTAAATCTTTGATAAAAACAGTTGATTAAGTCAGATAGTTCAAGTAAAATGCAAAATGCTTTCGTAGAATTTGATAACAATTTGTGGACACCGAATGTTTGCTTGAGCAGCAGGTACGACATCGCGGACTTGACTTCCTTTCCTAATGTTTACTGATGAGTTATGGAAACATTTCTTTACCATTTGATTAGAAAATACAATTCATTGTCCTTTTTCGTAACCATATTGATAAAGTCAGGTGCTAGACCACGATCAAATCCGTACGGTTCTGCGCCTTCAGGCTGCAAATATGTCGTCAAAAGTATCACTTACAATGGTGGCTACTGTTGGCTCAATGGCTGCGTGCTTATCAAGGAAACGCCTGAGCAATACTGGACAATTTAAGTTGGACTGCGGTTCCCAAGTATTTTTTGAACTAGATGGTCATTTTGCAATAAAATTACCACTTACGGAGAATGTCCTTTCCATTTGATTAAGTACTCTGGTTCTCCATTGATTGTACGCATATCTAGTATATCTTCCACCTCGAATTCTACCTCATCTCCGGTTGAGTTTTTCCAATGTCGAGTAGGCATTGCCTAAAACGAAAATAATTTGATAAATAACGATATGTCTGTACAGGTTCTAATACTTAACTACTAACAACATTTATTTGAGGTTAGGTGATATCAGTCAGTCTTGAGTGTTGTTATAGGTATGAGGGCGGTTATCAATTCCCGGTTGCCCACACCGTGGAGGGGTTCTTCTAAAGGTACTTGAAAAGGAAATCGCATTAGAGGTGGTTTTAGTGACCTGAGAGTGTGGCCGCAGTGCCCAAGGGACAACTGCTTGAGGTCAGTCACACACGACCTTTTTGTGTTAGCTCCGTGCTTGTTGAGACCTTACCGCTGGAGACGTGTATACGTGGGATAAGGGGAGGTGTGCATTTTTAAGGTCGATCTTTTCTAACCCCACTCCTCCTTGTGGGGAGGCAGCATCGCTGTTACGCTAGTTGTCTGAAGGAAACACCTTACTGCCGTCGCACCTTTGTACAGTCAGCAGTATGACTTTGTCTTCGGACCTTGGGTTTGCTGTTTTTAGTCTTACCGTTCTTCGACCGACCTGTCTGGCATGGTAAGACCTTGAGGAACGATTGTTCTAGCCAGTATAGCTCGACTGGTTCATCACAATAGGCAAGCCCGACCACCACGTCGAGGTAGCAGCAACGGTCGGGTTAGGTGGTACTCTAGAGAGATACGGGCCTGTAATCTCGTGACTAGAATCTGGTTGCTTTAATGAAAACTGACCATTCAAACGCATTTTAAAGCATCATTTCGTATGCAACCGGACAGCTTGTAAGTTTAGAGGTCGCAAGTATAACATACAACGAGCTTTTTATTGCGTAGTGAACATAAAAAATAAAATTAGGCAAATGTGGTAGCTGTCAAGTCTCGATAAATTCAAAAATCTATGTTTAATAGCTGCTTGTTATAGTAACCAATACTAGCTGCTGTAATAGTATAACAGGGAAGTGTGTAAGATTTACGTCTACCCCAAAACAACGACAGTAATAATAAATTCTAAGCTTCACTGAACAACATTACAGCGACAAAACAGGTAAGAATAAAAGACTGTATACAGAAACAGGAATTTACTAAGCAGTTTCCCAAGCAAAGTGTGGTGAGCAGTCGAACTACATACGCAAAATAGTACATCGTTAGGTAATGTTCAGAAATAGTAAACTATCCCTCGAAACCTCCAATTACGTTTTATTCGAAATACACATAACCTAGAAAATGGAGTTGAGCGGTTAAGTAAACAAATAATACGAAGTGGTATTGCTAATTTAGTGTCCAAACAAAAATTTGATTCAAATCGTTGCTGAACAATGAAAATGAGTACGTTCATGGGTGAGATTTGCTCTAAATAGATAATATAAGTTATCTACGTGTTTACTTGTGTGAAGTACTATTCGCTGATGCCGTTGACTAGTTTTAGTACCGATTGCGCCAAAACCATCTACATACTAAAAATATGGTACACCATCCATCACGTTTCTATATTGCTTTACAGCCGCGATAAATAAATAGGTTGAAGACGTGTATGTTACGAATACTCAATTGCACCATTGGAGCGTTACTTGCATTTTTGGGGACTATGAAACTGGGAATACTGGCACTAGGAAAAGCAGTTAATGGTACTGTGAGGATTCATTGAATTAAATGGCTGTGTCGCTCTCGTAAACATGTATGTCTAAGCCACCACAGCGAGAGGGGAAATCAATAAGAGGAGAAAATATCATCAACGTAAAGCTAAACATAAGATATATATTGCAAAGAGAACGAACAAAAGCAAAGGATAGGGAGTATGGGATGACATTAAACTCAAAAGTTAGGGGACAACTAGTCAGTACAACTGACTTCAGGATATATCAGAAGCGGCTACTTCTTATTACCACATAAGTCTTGAGCACTGTTTTGTCTTTTCTCCCCAACAAATTATCTGCAATTTCTCTTAATCATTCGCTAGCAAGCACTATTTCAAACATACCACGTTTTTCTTTATTCTTATGATAACATGAACCGACGCATTGGTTATTAAGTTAAGTACAGAATACTGCACTTATTTTGTAAGCCCGCCAGTTCTGACTAGTTGATGGCGTAGAAAATCTCCATATGAAGATACGGTTTATTTGGTATTCGATCCCAAAAAACTGTTTGTGGATTAGTATTATATCAGTAATTATTCATATTGGATGCAAGCACGGATTTCACAACAGTGCAAATCCGTGCACTGTAGTATCACTCAACAGTCCTCCATAAATTGTAGTCCCATTGATTAGTATTTATATGTCAGACAAAAATAAATTGCGAAACAAGATTATCACGAACAGATGTCTTAGATACCTTACAGCCACCACCCCACAATTAATTTCCAACTTGGTAAACGACCCTGAGGATTCAAACACAGCAGAGCATTAAAAGAACTGCAAATTTATCCGATATGTGTTACAAGTAACACTCTGATTTTTCATTAGGCTTTGCATAGTGTCGCAATATTTTAAGGTCATTAGTAGTAGAAAGTCAATTTACACCACAGAACTGCATTTTTACAGTCGAAACACATGTTAAAATCCTTGTTATGTCAAATTACTTGAATAAGTGGTGAAACAACAGTATTATCAGTGAGACAATTTCCTGGTGAATAACAACCAAGATCTGGTTTTCTTATGGAAATCTTTTGTTTTTGAAGTTTTGTATTAGATTGGGGTTCAATCGCATCACTTCCAACAACCAAATTTATCATCAGTTTGAGAAATGAAAACGACGTCATCATTGATTAGTACTCACAGAAATGATGAGATTGATGAATGTTATGGTAATAGTTTGTGATGAATGTTCTCTGAATGTTTGAAACCACAGTAAACCTACATCACCACTAAACTTTTTCATGCTGTGAAGAAACCGCTTGACAATTCACTCACTCATACATTATTACTTTTGGCTTCATTCCAATGAATGATATTCAGCTAAGCGAATAGCAGATTTATTGAAACCTGAAGATGAACAACCTACCAAAATTTCATATTTTTTAGTACTCAAACATTTATTTGGAATACACTAAACGTCAAGTTCTCGACTGAAAAAGCGTGATAGCCGTTTGTGTAAACACGTGTAACATTATTGTAGTCAATGTTTGGTATCTATGCACATGATTATGTAGCGTGAACCATTAAAGGGATCGCAGTATATTTTTACAATAATTTTTGTTCGTTACAAATGTAAGTTCTCAAATTCTGATCATTTTAAATGGACATAAAAGAGATAACAAAATTGTTTTTACCTATGGTCTCGGAGTTAACAATAATGAATCTTCAACTACCAAACGAGTCACTCTACCATATGTAGAGAGACAGAAGAAAAATCATAGTTCACGTGACGAAAGTCTGAGTTGGAAATTATTAGCACAATGGATAAGTGTATCATAGTGTCGACAATGAACTAAAATAAGCATTGTAACTGACGTTTATACAATTAGTTCGTCTAGCTGTAGTGTCAAGCCATTTGCATGCCTATTCAAGAGATACCATGACATCTTGTACCAAACTAAATATTTTGTAGCTGAAGAACTTGGTATGTTAAAAAAATTACATGTCGTTCTGAGAGTCAACAGAAATTCAGTAAACTAATCTTCTTGTGTTGAGCTTAGTACTCTGACTGGTTCAACGTTACATGTGATACTAAACACATCATTACTTTGCAGGTCATTCAAAATGGAGTACTATTAAAAGGATGTTTCGCCCTCTTCTTTTAGAACAGTGTCTTGAATTTGGCTTCAGGGTGCAGACACTGATAAAATTTCTGAAGTACGTCAGGTACTTTTTGTGCGCTGACGGTGTACAGATTGTGAACAGACTAGTATTAAGTAACACGTGGATGATGAACCTACAGTCAAATCCCATTTTCAGGAGATATGCAAACAAGCTGAACGTCATACGAAATGGTTAAGAGTGCATTAATGTAGTATCTTTAGGACATCTTACCAGCTTGCGACGTCAGATAACCTCATGCTCGTGTTACCAGATTCTTCCAGCATCCTCCTGACTAACGAAGGATTGCACCCTACACTTACATTATGAAGCCCGAGACGGCTGAAGATAAAACTGTTATGAACACTTACGCCTATCAGCGGTACAGGTATTTCTTTCCTCATTGCTGCAAATATAAAAAACCACTCGAAATTCAGTCAGTGGTTTATTAAACATAATATTCATCTCACTGTGCAAAAATTCTAAGGGTTATAATAAATTAAGTTTACAATATAGCTGACTGCTGCCCTTTAAAGAAGACAGTAGTATGGATCAGGACTCCAAGATTTTCGGTCTACATACAGCTGTGATACCTTGTGTTGGGGATGTCAAATCCCCAGAACTTACTTGGTAAGTGGCTCAATTTTGTAATTTTATTTTGGAAATTTGAATTTAGCTGTTTTCGCGTCAAAACGTGCTCTTATTACCTTCACATCATATTTCCCACTCGTAACTATCTTAAACGCTATTGGTCCATTGTTTCTTTGTGTGTGCTAATTATTAACGATGCCCAAGGACATTTCGTTGCTGTATAAATACGCTTGACTTTTTCCCTTATTTGATTACTGTGCTTCTGGCTGCTACGGAATATAACTTCCCCGCTCCAACTTGGACTTCTTACTCTAGTTAGCTGGGTCTGGGTCGCGTCAGTATAGCTAGTTATCGGTCTCTGGTCACGTGTCTTTGTTCCGTTCGTTACTAGGGAATTCGTAACGCTTCAGATATATCAATTGGCGACGGTGATTTGGAAATATGGATCCTGCAAAAGTGGAATTATTGCTCGAACAGCAGATGAAACTTATCAAGATGCTAACAGAAACAAAAATTACGACCAATAGCCAATCAAGCAGCTCTAATCCTACCACTACTGCACCTTCAGTTGATGGTATTGCCAGCAGTATTTCCGAGTTTCATTACGATCCTGAATCTAATGTTACGTTTGATATGTGGTTCCGCCGTTATGAAGATTTATTCAGATTTGATTTTGCCAATCAAGATGATGCTTGGAAAGTCCGTTTGCTGCTTCGAAAGATGGGTCCTAGTGAACTTGATAAATATTGTAACCTGATTTTGCCTCTAAACCCACGCGATCGCTCATTCTCAGACACTGTTCAGTCATTGAGCCAACAGTTTGGAGATAATTCCTCACTGTTCAACACACGCTATCGATGTTTGAAGCTGACTATGAACGAAGACACCGATTTTCTGACGCATGTGGGCATTGTGAACCGCGAATGCGAACGCTTTCGGCTGAAGTCGCTAACTGAAGATCAGTTTAAAGCCCTCATTCTCATCGGCAGCCTCCAATCGTAAAAGTTCAGTGATATTAGAACACGGTTGCTCAGTCGATTGGATCAAGACCCTAAGCTGACTCTTAATGATATTGCTAACGAATATCAACGTCTAATTAATCTGCAGCATGACACTACCATGGTTCAACGTGGTGTTTCTGATCGCCCTGAAGTGCATGTAGTTCACCAACAAACGAAACCTGTTAAACCCGCTCCAGCTATACCTAGTTCGTCTCACTCTAACTCAGTTCAACAAGCAAAGACGAATCCTCCTGCTCCATGCTGGCACTGTGGTGCATGGCATTATGTTCGAAGCTGCCCGTATAAACAACATCGTTGCAGGAAGTGTGAAGCTGTGGGCCACAAAGATTTTGCCAAAATAAAAAGCCGAATCGCCCCAGAAGTGTTAGGAAGTCTGCTCCCACTCCGTGCACGAATTCGTTGAGTCTTGTAGCATCCTATCAGAACTCAACCCCAGGTGAGAGAAAATTTATTACCATTAATATTAACGGGCACCCATTTAGATTACAAATAGACACAGCTTCGGACGTGACAATTCTTTCACAAAAATCTTGGATTAAAATGGGCAGACCACGTATGGCGACAACAACACAAAAGCCTCGTACAGCATGCGGTAGTTACTTACGTTTGTTAGGTCAACTACATTGTGAAGTGTCTTTCCTCGATTCGACGTTCACTGGGGTATGTTACATTGCACCGGTTGATCTTAATTTACTTGGATTAGATTGGTTTGACCAACTGCATTTAGCAGACGTCCCGTTAAACACTACGTATCAACTAGTAAAGCATCCCCATGACCCAGAAGCCTATTCAAAGGAACAAGTTACGAAGTTTTCGACCGTCTTCCAGCCTGTTTTGGGTCGGTGCTCAGCCATGAAAGCAACGCTTCGATTGAAACCTGGGGTCAAACCTGTTTTTCGTCCGAAGAGACCAGTACCATATGCTGCATAACAGAAAGTTGAGGAAGAACTTAATCGCCTTCAACCTGAAGGAGTTATTACTCCTGTCTCTTATTCCGCATGGGCAGCACCCATTGTTGTTATCAAGAAGGCTAATGGTACAATCCGAATATGTGCAGATTTTTCCACAGGTCTCAACGCAGCCCTAGAACAGCATCATTATCCGCTGCCAGTCCCGGCAGATTTGTTCACTATGCTGAATGGCGGAAAGTACTTTGCGAAGTTGGATCTTGCTGATGCCTACCTACAAGTAGAAGTGGCTGAAGGATCAAGAGAGCTACTCACTATTAATACTCATCGTGGACTGTTCCAATATAATCAACTGCCCTTTGGAGTCAAGACCGCCCCATCTATTTTCCAGCAGCTAATGGATACCATTCTATCAGGTATCCCGGGGGTCGCAACTTATCTGGATGACATCCTCATTGTTGCCACAACGTCGGAACAGCTACGAGAACGCACAACAGCCGTGATCCAACGCGTCAGCGACAACGGATTCCGGTTACGCCCGGAAAAGTGCTAGCTTTTCTTGAAATCCGTGAAGTATTTGGTGTTCATCTTTGATGCTGCAGGTCGCAGACCAGATCCCGAGAACATTCGAGCTATAAGAACTATGCCCACACCTACCAATATCTCTACTCTACGATCATTCCTGGGATTGGTTAGTTATTACTCAGCCTTCGTTCCATCAATGCATGACATACGCGCCCCACTGAATTATCTCCTGAATAAGGATATCAGCTGGAACTGGACAAAGGAGTGTGAAAATGCCTTTTGTAAGCTAAAGACAATTATTAGTTCAGAACTACTATTAACGCACTACGACCCGTCTTTGCCAATCATCGTGGCCGCAGACGCTTCAGCCTTTGGGCTCGGTGCCGTTATTTCACACCAGTTCCCCGACGCGACAGAGAAAGCTATCATGCATGCATCCCGAACATTAACCCCAGCAGAAAAAAAGTATGACCAGATAGAGAAGGAGGCTCTTGCCCTAGTATTCGCAGTGCGTCGTTTTCACAAGTTTCTTTATGGTCGGAGATTTACTCTCCTAACTGATCACAAGCCTCTCCTTGCAATTTTTGGTTCGAAGTCTGGCGTCCCGGCCCACTCTGCAAACCGTCTTCAACGATGGGCCTTGATCCTCTTGGGTTATGATTTTGACATTCAGTATCGACGCACCCAACATTTTGGTCAGGCAGACGCATTGTCACGACTCATCAGCGAACACTCTACGACCGACGAAGATGCCGTTATTGCTTCTCTTTCGACAGAAGACCACGCACAATGCTACCTGACAACGGCTGTTCGTGCTTTGCAAGTCTCAGAATCTGAGATACAAACTGCTTCCAGAAACGACCCCATCATTAAGAAAACGATGAACTACGTCACCATTGGCTGGCCATCAACTAAACTTGACGGTGACATGAAGCAGCTTTACCATCGTCGTGACTCATTATGTGTCGTAAGTGAATGCTTGATGTTTGGAGATAGAGTGGTGGTGCCAGAATCCCTGCGACCGAGGGTGCTGAAGCAATTCTACATTGGTCATCCAGGCATAAAGCGTATGAAATCCATCGCCGGAAGCTATGCTTACTGGCCCCTCATGGACCAGGATATCGTGGATCTAGTGAACAAATGTGCTCAGTGTCAACAAGCTGCAAAGTTCAATGCAAAGGTGCCGCCGGTTCCATGGTCACAGCCTGAGCATCCCTGGTCTAGGATACATGTCGACTTTGCCGGACCAATCAACGGAACCACTTACCTTGTCGTGGTCGACGCCTTCTCGAAATGGCCGGAGATTGTTCCCGTTAATCCACCAACGACCACCCAGACTCTGAAACATCTGACTGAGTTGTTCGCACGAAACGGATTACTGGAAGTGATTGTATCCGACAACGGTTCGAAGTTCACCTCGGCGCAGTTCCAAGAGTTCTGCAAACGCCTAACCATCAGGCATCTTCGCGCCCCACATTATCACCCACAATCGAATGGGCAAGCGGAAAGGTTCGTGGATACGTTCAAGAGGGCCCTTATTAAGTCAAAAGGGGAGAGGACACCAGTGGAAACACTTCAGAATTTTTTATTCGCCTACAGAACGACTCCCAACGACACGCTGCCGGAGTAGAAGTCCCCCGCAGAGATCCTCATGGGAAGACGGTTGAGGACCATCCACAACTTGATGCTGCCGAAAACAACACCACCACTAGTACAAACCACGTCTCGGAAGCTACCCACGTACAACGTTGGATGCCCAGTATTTGCTAGAGACTACAGAGCAAGTCGTGACCCTTGGATCGAAGCACGTGTGGTTAGAAGGGTAGGAGAAGTCATGTACGAGGTTGAGGTGGGAGCGGACAGGTGGACCAGACATCGAAATCAACTACGCAAGCGGTTAACGCCAGAGCGCCCATCGACCGAAGTAAAGATCCCGCTAGACGTAATATTGGATACCTTTAATCTGCCGGCAGTCCCAACGCATGAAGAAATACAAAAGGTCGACCTACGGTCCCGAAGATGGTCACTGCGCCAACGGCGAAAGACAGTCAGAATGCAAGTGGACCCGAAGAGTGTGCGTCATTAAAGGGGGAGGTGTTGGGGATGTCAAATCCCCAGAACTTACTTGGTAAGTGGCTCAATTTTGTAATTTTATTTTGGAAATTTGAATTTAGCTGTTTTCGCGTCAAAACGTGCTCTTATTACCTTCACATCATATTTCCCACTCGTAACTATCTTAAACGCTATTGGTCCATTGTTTCTTTGTGTGTGCTAATTATTAACGATGCCCAAGGACATTTCGTTGCTGTATAAATACGCTTGACTTTTTCCCTTATTTGATTACTGTGCTTCTGGCTGCTACGGAATATAACTTCCCCGCTCCAACTTGGACTTCTTACTCTAGTTAGCTGGGTCTGGGTCGCGTCAGTATAGCTAGTTATCGGTCTCTGGTCACGTGTCTTTGTTCCGTTCGTTACTAGGGAATTCGTAACGCTTCAGATATATCACCTTGCCACCTGGAACACCAATGAAATAATATTAGCAGTAGGAGTAACTCAAAGATAGATGTCATTTTGAAGTTAACCTTTACTGAGCCTGTCAAAAAGTAGGACATATTACTGGAAAACTGAATTCTTATTCACCCGTCGTATAGCTATCAATTTTCTGAAAGACCTCGATGGCATAATGATAACTGAGTGAATGGACACATTCCGTTGCTATTCAGATGAACACATCGCATGCTGAACAGAGATTCCTACTATAATTTTGACGGTAGTTACATGTGGTATCCACTGCTATCTTCTCCAAAGCTTGAGTAAATGAGTAACCGGCGCTTTGAAATTTTTCAATAACTACAGCACTAACCTGTAAAGGGAGTAAGTAATTTTGAAAACCACATATAAATGCTTCCTGTTCTCAACACGGTTTTTTTTAGCTTACTTTCTAGTTTCTATTCATCATTTTGATATTTGCCTTCAGTTCTTCTTTTCCTCTTCCCTTCAGGATTTTAGGAAAGCGCTTGCCTCGTGATGCCATTCGGTGATTTGCGCAGTGTATGTTCTATCAATCTCCAACCTAACTTCTTTTTAGCCGATAAATAACTCAATCCAAAGGTCTTGCGTCGTACAGAGCGACCTGAAAGAATTTTAAAACCTTAATGCAATCTTCAAATCATAGGCCGTCGACGATAAAGCAGAAAAAATGACAAAGGTAGCATTTGTTTGAAAACTGAAAGTAGTGTGTGAAACGATTAACCATTTATGAATGTCTGCTCACAATTGATACAAATAAGCAACAAATACTGAATATAAATATGATTACATATAGAACAACAGAAAGAATGAAATGTAAGATCTTCATTTTGTTGTTACAAGAATAATCAAATGTCCATGTGCCTATAGGATTCAGGGTTAAAATTATGAATAACACTGTAATCGTTCTACACCAATCTAAAACGTTATTTGTGAAAATGGTGTGAATTTTGATAACAAAAACGTGAGAATTTCACCTTAACGCCAAAATCATGAAACAAATAGCCCATCTGATAAATATGAAAAACTAACGATACGAATTTCGTATAACCAGTAAAAATTCTGCAAACTGAAACGCCGAGGGCCAGTACGAAAATATTAAATAAACAGGAAGCAAAACGAAATAGCACCTTCAATTAAAATAACGTATTTGTAATATCTCAAAGAGTCACAAAACGTCAGAAAATTTAGTTTTCCTACTCGGAGTATTACAAACATGTTATATCCATTCTTTAACTATTTACCCAATGCACAACTTATTTGAAGTTTTCAAGTCAAACCTTGGTAATGATGTCTACGAAATAGCAGAAATGCAGGAAATGACGATTATTACGCCAAATAAATAAGCGCTCCGTGAGTTTGATCTCACTCCATCAGCGCATGCGCTATCTAACACGCCATATTTTTACAGAATTAATTGTGTCCGAGAACGTTTCTGATTTTTCGTGGGGTAGTTATGTTAGGACGGCTCCCAAGAACTACAAAATGGAATTTACTAGACGCATATTTACAAATCACTGTATCCAATGAAAGTAACGATCTAACGGTCAACAGGCACACGAGTTTGTTCCTACATAACTGACTACATTTAGAATGAAGGTGACGCCCTCTATTTTCCAGCAAATTGCGGATACCATGTCACAAGGTATTCCAGGAGGGCAGGTTAATTTAGACGACACCATAAATATGGTAGCAGATAAAATGAACTCACAAAGAAACTGGATCAGGTGCTAGGACTCATAGCCGAATATGGTTTTCGCCTCCTCTCGGGAAAGCGTGACTTTTATATACAATACATACAGTATCTCCGTTTTATTAAAGAGTAACATGAAGGACCAAAAGATTCAGAGAAGCTGTTAAAACTTTGTCTGGACATATTATTATGGTACCATCCTCCTTGCTCCACTAAACCACCTGCTGAAGATTATAAAATGGGATTGGTTGGTGAACTGTCAAACAATTTTCGAGAAAATCGAGCAACTCCTAGTTAACAATCTTTTACTAATGCACTTTGTTCCTTCCCTACAATTAGTGGTTTCTTCAAATGCTTCGAACTATGGTATGGGAGCAGTCATCTCCAACATTTTCCCTGATGGGCCTGAAAAAGCAATCTCCCATGCTATCAGATCATTGACAACTGAGGTCAAATTGAAAAAGAGGCGCTATCAAATATCTTTGCAGTAAAAAGTTCCACAAGATAATATTTGATCAGCGTTCCACACGAAACAACTGAGGTCAAATTGAAAAAGAGGCGCTATCAAATATCTTTGCAGTAAAAAGTTTCACACGAATAACAGACCATAAGTCATTACTTGACGCATTTGGGTAGAAGAAAAAGATTCCTGTTCACAACGGCTACAACGATGGGCAATAACACTTTCGGGTTGCGATATTACGATAAAGGATCAGTCTATTACCACTTTCGGGGAAGATAACGCGTTATGAAGATTAATAGGTTCCCAGTCAAAAACTTCAGACGACACTTTTGTGACAAATATCAAAGTTGAAACAGAAGTTCATTGTGTATCGGATAACGCAAACGATGAACTTCCAGTTACTTTCGAAGCCATCAATGAAACTGATCAGATATTGAGCAGAGTTAAGTGCTGTCTTCCCACTTAATTGCCAGACAAGCGTCTTGAAGGAGAACGTTTGCAATATTTTCGTCGAAGTTACTCGTTGATGGTGATCAATTCCTGAAAAATGTTCGGTGAACGCATTGATCTTCCGGAATTATTGCATCACAAGCTTCGCACACACTTTCACAGTGGTCACCCCGGGATCAATAAGACGAAATCATTTAATCGAAGCTACGCTTGTCGGCCATTAATGAACAAAGATATAGAAAACAAATGCCGCAATCGTCTATCATGTCTTCAATCTCCCGAAAGCCCTTCAAAATGCGGACCAAAGCATTGGTTCACGAATTCAGGACCCCGGGCAAGACTGCATACAGATTTCGCAGGTCCAATTCAAGGTTGAATGTTTCTGATTATTGTGGATGCATTTACAAAGTGATCAGAAACGTAAATTATGCCCAATTGTACAGCATCAGAAACATTCCACAAACTGTCTACTTTGCTCAAATGTTTTGGAGTCTCAAAGACTTTAAAGACTGACAATGGCCAGCAATCCGTTGCAGAATCATTTTTGTCCCATGAACGAAACAGTACATCCACGTCCGCCGCTCTATCATCCCCAATGGAGTGGACAAGTAGAACGTCCTGTCGATACTCTAAAATGAGCATTTCCAAAAGAGGGAGGCGAGGAGGAAACTAGACAGGTAATTACAAAATTCCTATCGGCCAGCAGTACTAATCCGAATTGGATTGGTCCAGATGGAAAGACTCCTGCTGAAGCCACGTTCGGAAGACTTATTCGAACTGTTTTCAACGTCATATGTTGCTACTCATAATAATGGATGGACACAGGCCAAATCTTAATATCCCATGTTTATAACGTTGTCGATAAAGTTTTCGTTAAGTCCCACCTCAGAAAGAATCGATGAGAACCGGGAAAAATCGTACAAAGTTTAGGAAGAGTTTCGTAAAGAGCTCGAGGAACTTTTTGTACAGATATCGGACACATTAACTAAATCACAAATGATAGAAGAATGATGCACACTCGAGATAAACAGCTGAATCTCCCACTCGAGGTAATTTCAGATACATCAATAACACAGACGCAAAAGAATATTGAAAAGAAGACTCGGACCACAAGTACAGCATAATAAATAAATAATAAATGGAACGCCATCGCAAACCAGTCGTTAGGTCACAAGTGGATCCGAGAAAGAAATCTTACTCCGGGGTGTTACCGATGGCTTCAGTGAACTACAACAGAGCCTCCGGAGGAGCCGAAGAGTGTCCATGAAACAAGAACGTGATGGAGCGTCCTAGAGTATCAACGTGGCATGCTATTATTGAATAGTAGCATAATATGCTTCTTTGCGGATTGGCTGAATTATAATGCTGACATAACAGGCGGTAATATTTATAAATATCCGTGATATTTTGTACATTTTGACTCTTACCTAGCAAACACTTCTCCAGTCTTCTTATTTGAGACTGTGGGGTTCTATACGTTCGAATGTCGTAGTTGTATACCGTATTCTGTGTTAATCAAGTGGTGAACATAACAAGGTGCTACTTATAAGTGCATAATATTTTATTAAGAACTTTAAATCCAGCACCTACTTTCATTTTATTCGATTTGGGAATACACTACAGTGCCGTGTTCAAATTTAAATAGTTTCTGGTAATTAAAATAAATTTCCACACCCTTTTACGAAATAGAAAACATATATATTCAAACCGTATGTAATTATTGCCCAAGTTTGTGAAGTTAATATTATCAATAGCCTATTTACTAACCTCTACAACGAATAACGCTGTGCGCCTGATAAGTTCATCGGTTTTTATTATTTATAACAAATATACATGCTTAACCGCAATAAAAATCATTGAAATATTGTGTTTCGACCTCGATAACGTTGTATTTCTGTGGGTAATTACCTATAGACTGTTACTATATATATATATATATCCTTAATGTAGAACTATTAAGTAACTAGATTATATACATCTACATTCCCCTTATTATAGGCTTTTATTCGACTTGTCGGCTACTATTATACAATTTACTATTTCCCGTTCTATTAGGTACAGTCTCTCTCACTCACGCCTACTTTTAGCTTGACCTTGTATAATTGATATTTCTACTTTTATGGAGTGATGATGTCTAGTCTGTTTGTATATAAACAAAATATGTCTGAAATATACAATTCATATAGCGGAGGCTGATATTTGTGTTCTGAACTCAAAGGGTTGAGTTAAGAAAAAAGGCACTATACAGAGGACCAATAAGAACCCAAAGTCGACTCAAGGCTGCTCGTGCTGGTTAAAACACCATTGGTCCAGAACAGGAACAAGGTCTTACAAGCCGGTGCTCTGATTGCCGATCGTGATCTGGTAATGCTTGGCAGCACGTAAATCGACGTATTAATAAGCAAGTCTATGTTAAGTCTACGGGTTGCCTCGTAATAAAGAGCGTGTGGTAATGACAGCGTCATTTTAAGCTATAAAGATGATGGAAACTTTGTCCAGATGACTACTACTACTACCACCATAAAGTTGATGCGAATGTACGTAGAATCATATCATACTCAATAAAAGAAAACGATCCAAGTATCATATAAACGATACATACAATAGGCTGACTATAAATAACTATTTGTCTGTATTCTACACAAGATCAAAAGGGGATGCTGTATGTTATGAATGAGGGAAGTAAATAGTTGAATAGAATTGCAAGAGGGGTAATTACGAAAAAATACAAAAATAATACATAGTAAAGATAGACAAATCAATCAGAATTACAATGTATGAATTATTAATGCTTGTCTGATTAAGAGAAACTAGTTAAAACACGACTAGTTACGTAATATCCTGAACAGGATTCACTCACAAGGATACAGGACGCCATCAAGATAGAAAACAGTCCGAGGAAAATTAACAGTTTCATCACACAGTGATACTTAAAGACAACCCTAAGCTAATTAGCATTTCGATAACATTGATATATCAGTGTATTTATGAGAGTGAATCAAACTAATATATATAATCAAAAATTATTTCTTTTTTTAACGCTAAATCTACAAACAAGATTAGTAAGGAAAGACATATGTTAAATTAACGGTGAAACATGAAAATATACTAGATTAATATAAAGCAACTCTTTTACACAATAGTTATTGGAATGTAATTGAAATTTATGAGAATAAATAAGAGGATGAGAAATTCATACTTCAACATATTTATTTAAAGTAAATTAGATGTAATATTCTACCATACTTTTTACGAAAACCGAATCGATGCAAAGTATACATGTTAAACAGGAAGACATTTCCCAATAAATGTAACAGCAATCAGTGCATGAGCAGAAACGAAGAATGAGAACAAGTTTAGTATCTAAAATATGGCAAAAATAAGCCGAAATAAACTAGTTTGTTCTAAAATCTGATGCAATGAAATAAATATATTAAGTAAAAAATGTACAACAAAAATGTAGACGTCTAAAACGTTACTAGGGGTAGAACATAAATTTGTAAACTGAGACTAACCAAAAGGCATGGATGAAGTATGCCTCAGTTTGGGCATATGGGCAGTATCACAGCCCTCACACAAATCAAATGAGACTTGTGCGACGCATATGTATCTGGTGCTTCCTCGTACCAATATTTATGTGTTTAAATAAATAAATAAAATAGATTACGAACAGTACAGATATACACACTGTGTCTTACATAAATGAATATAGAATAAAAGCTTTTTCTTATTATCACCAAAACGTTTTGCAAGTTCATACATACATAACCATATCCTCTAGAAGGAATGCTTAGTCGTCTATCGAAATTCTTCAATGACAGGTGATAACGATTATGTTTATTTGTACCTATAGTTGTGTTAGGGTGTGTGGTGAAGGTAAGACATTTCCCTTATCCTTAACCCTTGTACTTGAAAGGAACATAAGACTATCGGAGAATAATTGCAGGAAATGACCACCGTTACTTATTCACTCAACTGGGACGTCAAATGACCTACGTTATCATTTCTCAACTTGATTTAGAACATCTGCTTTACCGTTAACACTACCTGGAACGACTACCACATTTATTCCTCGCTACCTAAAGATCAGAAAACTTCCCATAAAACTCATCATTAAGAGAACTGCAGTGAATAGAATCATATGCAGAAAAAAACGAAGAGGTAACTGCATGAGTTCTCGTCTTTCTGAGCTCTTACTACACCCTTTAAAAGGATAGCTCATAATAGGTTGTCGATAAAAATTTAGTTAAGGGAGATGCAGTCAAAATAGAGAAGTAAACAATGACAGGTTGAAGATCAACGATAATCAATCAAGACCGACGCCGACAGGACAAGCTTTGAATCATATGGGGAGGAATTCAAACACATCACTTCTATTTGAAGTTTGTGCTGATGATATCGTTCAGAAGAACGATGAAAGCTCCATGACCGAACCATCTAGCTCATAGAACAAAACTCCACTTAGATTACTGAGAACAGATGTCGCCCTCAACCCAGCAAAATCACTTCAGTTAATGTTATGTAAACTCACAGACGAAGTCGCTGAAAATATTACTTCATACAAAGAGCCAATGCTCTTTACCGTCGTCTTCATTAATTCCAATTTGCTGTCAAATTCCAAGGTATATCTTAGTCTATATCAATACATATAGACAACTACGGATATATGTCAAACTGCAAAAAACGGCTAAGTTTTAGTTAGAAACAACACAAAGAAAACGAGAGGATTTCGGTAATCTTGGGACTGATATCAGTAAGCATTCAACATACATTATGAAATAAACCCAATTTACAAACCAATTAGGAAAAATCAAAAACAACTAGATAATCAAGAACCAGGTCAAGATAAACAAAATGAATGTGAAGATAATAGCGAGATAAGTCCCAACAATATTCAAACAAATTTTAAGTAGATAGAACAAGTTGTTAGTAGTTACTTGTTGATAGATTCTTAAAGTACACTCTCTTCTGAAGTTTGTACTGGTGTTATCTAGAGAAAACATTGCCAGCTTAACGATTAAACCATTCAGCTGAGTTAACGCGATTTCAACGAGTATATCAGGAGTTTTAGTGAAACTAACCCTTCACAAAGACGCTTGACAACATTCAGTTATTGTTGTAGTTGAAGATAATACACCAGAACTATATATTCAACCTGAGGAAAATTGAACAGAATATTCTAGAACCTAAAAACGTCATTAATAAACGCTAGTCGATAAGTATAAAGAGGTGAGAAAGACAAATTTATAGTATATGACATTTTGTATATTATTCTATATATGCTTCGATGTGAATATGTATAGTTTTCATATGACTTCGACAATGTGCCAATAATGAAAAAAAAAACATTTTCTTACTTGTAATTACTCGGTTTAAATGGTCCTGTTTTATTTACACCTAAATATCGAGCTTGTTCATCAGTGAGTTCAGTTATTCGACCATTGAATAATGGAAGATGCAATGTTGCCACATATTCATCTGTAGTATTAACAAAAAAATGGTTAAGTTAATACAACCTACATTAACAACTATGAGCTTGACGGAACGTGATATTATAGAATAACGATAATATTTACAGAAAGAACACAAGGAAAAGAAAAATGATGGAGAATAATACACTTATAACAGTCTACACCTCTATATGAACTAAGGACTGATAATATTGACTAGAACGACAATAAAATCACTGCAAACTAAATCATCTAGCTCAGAGAATACAACAATACCAATTACAGTAAAACAACAACTTCGACACTGTATACAACACCAAAATTTTAAGTTATTACTAAAAAATCGATGAAATATTGTTAAGTTTCAATTGGAAGTGAAAGTCTTGGTGCAGACTTTAGTTCCACAAAGTTATTTGTGTTATTTGGTCAAAAAAGCACACGTTTACGATAAAATGTAAAAATATCAAAAGTCATTTTTCACGTTCTATTACATCAACCGATTCATTCCAGAAAATCACGAACCTTGTAATAAAATTAACTTCGCTCATGCCATCTATTTCCTTTCAACGAATAAAAAACAACTGTGATTATAGTTGTTTATATATTTAATATAGACAGACTAGAGCTTAAATAGGTGAACTCATCATGATAAGATTTTATTTACTATGGTTAGTGAATTGTGTTAAAAGCGAATTGAATATCATACACAGAAAACATATATTTAAGCCTATCAGATGATATATTGATAATCCCACCAAACGATTTCAGCCTCTTTGTTTAATACTTACATTCTATTCGATCAAAACATTTCATATGTTAGCATCATCGAATGAGTGATGTTGTTGTCAAACATAAGGTAAACATGACAAATCGGTGTGTGAATCTCCGTAGACTGAGTTGATTAAGACATGTATTACCGCTTGCCAAACACATTAGAGAATTTAGAAAGTAACACATTTTATACTATCGAAAAAATTAAATGAAGCTAAAATGTCTTTGTACACTAGTAATAGAGAAATATTTAGAATTTGTATAAAAAAATCTAATAACATTTGAATAAATAACACAGTGGAACAATGAATGAACCTTAATGTAAACAACAAAAAACAACTCTTGTTTATCCGAGAACACAAAACAAAGAGACGATCTTGCAGAGTGAATGAGAAAAAACAGAAAGCATGAAAAAGTTAACAAAAAAGAAAATCTGATCACACCTAACAAATTGTATGTCCTAAAATTATGAGCTCGTAAAAAGAATTTGTAATAAGAATTTAATTTAAACTTAACAATAAAAGGAATACCTAGATAAAACAAGAGGAAAAGAAGACTAACAATAAGAAGTGGAGAAATGAATAGATATAAGTAGACTTCGTCGTTCAACTAAAAACATAAATTATCGTAATTGGTCACTAACAAGTAAAAAAAATTATCTTCAGTTAAATAAGAATGAATACAAAAAAACAACACTAGATGAGTGAAGAAAAGCTTGAAAGAATCCACACATTCAAAATATCACCAATTTTAATTAACTGTCTTAAGGAAGACGGTATGCAACTTATTTGTCAATAACATAGTCAACAGAAAGTTTCTCATAGAGACTGGTGACTTTTATCAGTTTTAGCTTTCGATTCATGAGTACACAACTTCGTATAGTATATCATTTAAGTCAGAGCTATTTCCGTAATATGTGAAGCAAGTATCAAGGGAAATCTTCAACGCCTACGAATCATACACAGTTCAGAGACAATATGAGACATCTCAAGAACTGACTACGTCTAATTTGTCTTTAGGCTGTCTTATCAATACCTTTAGTCTAAAGTAATCAGTCCCAAATATTGGACTCAGACACAGTGGCCAGACTCTAAAACGATTACGACGGAAATATCGTTCATCCCAACTCCAACATTTCAATCCGAAGATTTACTTTTCAAGAGAGGGAACTGATGGCCGGACAATTTCGAATAAATTACATGTTATAAGGCTGAGCAGACCATATACTATTCGAAGGCCACATAGTGGGAGAGAAATACAAATGTAAATGGGTCTATTATGTGTGAGATCATTATTTTGACCAGGGTCATTGTTCATGTATCCTTGCCTGAGTCAATGCTTATATACATATACTCATGGGTACTGCATATACTTTTGAGTTTCAGCAATAATGTTTTCAACATACGCTTAATCTTCTCTGGATAGTGAAGACTTGGCGAGTGCTAAGAGGTGTTATTAATTGCTGAATCAAACTGCTAAAAAACAACACATCCCGGAGGACAGAGATGATACTGGGAATAAATTTTAGACATAACAGATATTATTCACTTGATTGGTCAAGTGTTCATGCAAACAATAGATTCAACTTGTCGACTTTCACGCCTTCACATAATCAACATAAAATGATCCACTATAATTTACACGAAGAGTTACTGTTCAATAAACCGATAATAAATCATATTTTTTACTGTAAGAAAAAATTAAAATACAAACGGATAAACATAGTAAACAGTTACAATGATTCACATGAACTATCTCTCTTACCCATTTTTTTCGGTAATAAATACACATCATTTTTATAACGACCAGCGGGAGCATTGTATAATTCAATCAAAGCTAATATCTGAATAAAAATTGTCCAAATGAATAAAGTAAATAAATTTATAACATTTTGTTTTTAAAAAGCAAAAAAAATAATTATTAAGAGAGAATTATTCAACAATAAAAAAGAAAGAAAACACATTTGTTTTTCATAGTTGAAAGCGTGAGTCAATTGATGCTAGACCACCAGGGAAAACCTGGAAGCACTGGACGGCCGTTTCGTCCTATTGTGGGACTCCTCAGCAGTGCACATCCACGACCTCGACTCGCGAGATTCGAACGGCCGTCCAGTGCTTACAGGTTTTCCCTGGTGGTCTAGCATCAATTAACTCACGCTTCCAACCATGAAAATACTAAATCTCCACAAAATGCCAAATCTGTTTTTGTTTAATTTTTCATAAATTTTAAGATTCAGCATATAATTTTAGTGTAGAACAGTATAAAGAAAAAAACAACAGTGGAATTATTCTGTGAAATGAAATTTGCATAACAGAACGGAGACCTTATGATAAATATATACTACTACTACTACTAATAATAATAACAATAATAATAAAATATGCATTTTATTCCCTTGTCTTTATCCTTGAATAAATAAACAGAATAGAATAGTAAAAATGGTTGATTTGCATTTGGCACAACTACATCATACATACAGCAGATAAAATTACAAATTAAACATGCATAATATTGTTTCTATTAACCAAAATTTATTTGACAGTATTGTTGAAATATTAATTTACATTGAGTTTTATATTTTCTCGTAAAATTTCGTTAGAAATCATGTAAAATTTACTTGATCAGTTCATAAGTATTAAAACTGACTAATTTTATTTGGGTCATAGGTTTGATGGGGGTTTTTTTCTATGTGAGCATTTGTGAATATAAGATTTGTTATACTCGCACACACACACAAAAAAAATGAATTCAAATTCTTGAATAAATATTAAACATTCCCAGATAACTAGTTCTCTTTCTCATTAATTGATACTGTGATCTAATAAGTGTTTTATTTATTGAAGTGTATTCATAGAAGAGATATATTGTGACTAACAGTGGAATCCAAGATGCCAACCAACTGATCGAAATCCAATTTAAGATCGTTACCAACTGGATAACTTAAATCTTTCCTAATTATGATATTAGTGTTAAATATATTGTCCAAAATGATATCCATGGATTTAAAATGAATTACTACTTGTACACGGTTGTTGTAATTATTATTACCATATTATTCGCCAGAACTTGTGGCCAGTTGAACTAAAAAATCTTTGTGGAATAAACATCCTGCATCATTTACAAGTTATATAAATGAAAGGAATATGTCTTGTATGTGGTTGGTCATTTCCATATTAGACTACACAAATCACTATTAACTAACATTCTGACAAAAAAGCAATTTATACGATGGGATATTCTTTCCCAGCACAGAATGTCAATACAATCACCAAAATTAAGATTACAAAGACCAGAACAAAATGTTCACAATAGTTTACTATAGATAATTAAAAACGCTCATGAAGATAAGAACATGTGAAGTACATATAATTCAGTAACAAGCAATATATAATTATTGTTGTTTGCCTACTAAACAGAGGTTACGTAACCAGATTGACCAGTTTCAATGTATGAAGTATGAAAACTCATGTTTTCAGATAACTTCGACTCTAGTAAGAAAAGCTAAGCAAATAAAGTTGAAATATCAAGTCGAATGAAATAAACCATGAATATTTAGAAAGTATCATCTTATCTAGCTTCATCCAACCACTAAATGTTCATTCTCAAGTTCCTATAGTGACAAGAAGAACGTTTAAGATCAGATCATCACGATAAGAATTCTTATATGCATTAAATGTTGTTTACATGAAAAGAACGTGTGAAATTATTTATATAGTACAATTATCAGGTACGAATCACCTTATCACTTACATTAACAATACTGAGTAGTTTGGTAACTTCAATTAAATGATTAAATGAGTATATAGTAATAACGTTAAAGAACAATTATCCAAAAAGATGAACTCAATGTATCACAAACTAACTTGAGTACTGGCGCTAACAGAGACAACAATAGATGGAACAGTTGAACAGCTTAAATTCGCCAAACGACCCTGGAAGAACAAAACAATTATCATAAAGAACAAATAAATTCTAATACAACCAACGTTGTAAACAATTTTAAAAAGTAATAATTGAAACCCACTTTTCCCCAAAAAGCTTGACACATAGTTCGATTTGCAAACCATAATAGCACAATGAAACGAAATTAACAAGATGAATTGCAAAATAGATCGGAATAATGTAGTAACAATCATAATAACAAAGACTAATCATTGCGAATATTCTTTGAGAAGACAGGGTGGAAAGTTATGAATGAACGAATACTGAAGTCTACAGTAGACAGGAATATAGAGAGTGGGTGAATTTGTGTCATTTTAACCGACATTGATCTATATCATCTGACTGTAGTTATTTGGCGGACACTAACCAAGTAGTCCGCACCTATCAAAATGGATCAAACCAACAGTCAATAACTTCATGGACTGATGCTACGTTTTGGTTTGATCAACCTATTGAAAAATAAACCCATATTCAGTTCACAAAAAAATGATTATAAACAAAAACAGAAAAAACATTTCATATGAAAAAAGACATGATCTAACCTCAGCTATAAGAACAATACGTTTACCATCCATCCAAATAACATGATCCACTTGTGATCGAACACGCTCCCATGTTAAATCAGGTGTTTGAAGAGATCGCTAAACGATTAAGAGATTGACACAAATATGAAACATTGTAAAGATAATATTAATGCATTATTGTCTGAAATTACTAAAATGGTAAATAACCACATGATCATTGCGTTTTGAAAAGCCTCAAATGAGACGTAAAGATCGGGTAAGAAATTAGTTTGTTACAATCATATATCATTTAGTACGTGTTGCATAAATGATTACACCATATCACAAGTATACATATGAACAATCACGTCTGACAACTCGGATAAATTAAGATATATCCAAATAAATTTCATTACATACACGTACTAACTAATTTGATGAACACATCAATAAGGTTAGTACGAGAGGGCATTTTTCCTAAACAAACTATCGACTAAAACAAGATGGTGATGCTCCTCCAACAGAACTTAAAAATCACTGAAAATGACAGTGAAAACTACCAGCTGTATCATTTCGAAGGTCTTTACAACTTAAATGATGTTAAAAAATCAATTATAAAAACACATTCAATAACTAATTACAACTGAAAAATACCAGAAAGAGGTTTACAACATATCTAAACAACAATTTTTTACAAAACGGAGTTTACTTGGATAGATTTCTAAGAAAATCTAAGCGATTTTATACGCATATGCATGATTTTCTCAGATTTTCAGCATAATTCCCCTCTGAGGTCAAACGATCACGCGATTAGAATCAGCCGATCAACCCTTGGTTTTAGCATATTGTTTATTATGGTTATCTATATTACTTTACTTACAACCACTTTATTGGTACTGACTTTTAAGTATAAGTATAAGCCTTTATGCATTAGTGTTGAGCCATAATGAGATGCTAACTGATAAGAAATACTTCTCTGCTCAAGTTGTAAACTTAACAACTACATTAAATCATATAATCTATTAAAAGTTTTCGATAAACTAAAAAATTAAATAAGTTTATAAGCTTGTGATAATGATATAGCTACTGCGACAACACAAGCTAAGAATTCCGAAGTACCTTAGGCTGCACTGATTTGAAATGTTAGTTATAGGTTGAATGAGCTGAGGACAAAACCCTATTGGTTACTAGTTATGATTCAAACATTGATGTAGTTATGAATGAATGTCAACAACAAATTAAATTAGCCAGTATTGTTGATTTCAATAGAATACAACTATTAAGTTGAAGTTCTCTATTCACGAGTACGCAGTAAATACAAATGTTCCCTATTACTGACTGTATAAAGACTGGGAAATTTATAACGGAATATGTTAGATTAGAACTTGATATAGTTATTTTATCCAATGGACAATTGACATTTTCTCATTTTGACTATATCAATAGTTGATCAGATGACTTTTGATAAAGTATTTACAAAATGTTTACCAAAATCATGAACTGCATATTTATATATATATATAAATGTATAGTACTGAAATTGTTTGCACCTAAAAATATTCGTATAAACAGACGAATAAAAAATTAGTGTAAGTAAACACTTACAACATCGATTTCGGTGTTAGAGTGACCCATATTGCATACAACACAACCACTTTTCATCTGATCCATATGAGCCCGAGTAATGACACCTTTATTCCCAGTGCAAGTAACCACAATATCCACTGAACGTATAACCTCATCAATTTTTACAACACGATAACCATCCATGCTTCGAAGTAAACAGAAAAATAAAAATAAATAGGAATTCTGAAAAATTCCAAGCTGTTATTTATAACACTTTGGCATTTTAGGACAACGTGAATCATTTTAACACCGAAAAGCATTCACAGAATTATATATATATATATATATATATATATATATATATAAACTTCATCTGATTGAAGATTAATGACTAAAAGAAACTACATTGTTAACCCAGCAAAAATAAAATTATTAAAACAGCTGAAACCTGACATCAGTAAATAATGATATCATTTATCGAGGTTTGTGAAAACTGTTGAATGCCACGGAAATAAGAGATAAGCCACTTTCTCAATCATGTCAGCTTATTATCAAGGAAACTCTATTTGATATAATTGGTTCAGGACAAAAATTACTTTTAAATAAAACTAAAGGGAAAATTCACCAAAAAGGAACAAATCAAACTTTCTATGGAAAAGTATCAAATTTTGTAAGAGAACTTAAGAACTTCAGCTTACCAGGCTTGAAGTGCACAAATCGGATCTATTTCCGAAATACAAACGAAAGCTCCCAATCCTCTTAACGCTTGGCAAACACCTTTCCCAACTTCACCATAACCACATACTAATACGGTCTTACCACTGATCATCATATCTGTAGTTCGCTTAAGGCTGAAAGGAAGAAAAGTTATGAAGATTTGTACTGAAAATTATGCAGTAAACATCACCACTACCATACTTCTAATCATATTTATTTAAACAAATAAACATTGGTACGAGGTGGCACCAAACAGATATGCGCCACACAAATAATTCTATTTGTGTGAGGGCTGGAATACTAATCAGGCACCCAAACCGAAGGAGGTGGTTTCTTAGAAGGCCACTCCCCGAGCCTTTGACCTAGAGGTCTAAATCACATGGCAGTGGAGCAACGTTAGGAGATGCAATCCCATGGTAGCCGGCAACCAACAATAGGTTCAAAAGCCACTTGCTCCCTCAGGATACTGGAGTCCACGTGCACGATTGGTTTGGAATCAGGGTTTTGTACCTCCTCCTAGGAAGATCCTTCATATCCCCCAACCCGGTTTAAATGCCGAACACTTGCTTTTCTCTATCTCGACTTCGTAAACAGCACCCCTGCCGCAAGAGGACAGTGAGTAGGACTTCCCTGGCAATGGCTGTATGCGTGAGGTCATGCGAGAACACTTCGGTAAGGACAGCAAACTCTCTCTACCCTCGTCCGTACCAGTGCGTTACATTCAATCGAGAACGGAAAAGTAAATTAATTAATCTGAAATGAGGCGACACTTGATTCGCACTACGGTTGACAGAGATTTTAAAAAATTATTCGATGGATTTTAGTTGCCTAAAATCTTTCGAAAACTATCGCTAAAGTAGATCACCATAGATTAGTCGAAATTTTGGTAAACTGGCGATACTTTTCGACATAACCTTTATGAAAATGTTTTTCTCAACTGCGGCTAGAACAGTGGAATGTCCACTGTAACTATCAAAAAGCGAATATAAGACAATTTTAAATCTTAATAAGGGATATCAGAAAAGCTATACCTTACCGGCTCTAGACATAAAGTGATTATACAGGTATCATTACCAAGTTTTGATTTGATAATTTTGAATAAATTGAGCATTGGGAAGATTTTTATAAATAAATAATATATTTGTAATATCCCAATGAGTAAAAAATTACATTTTCTGACGTTTCGTGTCTCAGTGTGAGCCATTCGTTCATTGGGATATTACATATATATTGATTATAGAAGGGGTTTTGTGGAGATTTAGTAACCAAGTTCAACCAGACATCCTGGAGGTTGGTCTTCAACCCGGAACTTTTCTATTCGTATTTGACCAAATGAATAAACTGATTACTCTATGAATGAACAATATATATGTAGAAAGCATGAGTCAATTGAAGCTAGACCATCATGGAAAACCTGGAAACACTGGACGGCCGTTTCGTCCTATTATGCGACTCTTCAGCAGTGCGCATCCACGAACCCGCTCTCGCGAGATTCGAACCCAGGACCTACCAGTCTCGAGCCGAAGCCCTTAACCGATAGACTACTGAGCTGGCATCCAACGGTGTTAATGTCTAACTTGGATGCCAGCTCAGTGGTCTATCGGTTAAGGGCTTCGGCTCGAGACCGGTAGGTCCTGGGTTCGAATCTCGCGAGAGCGGGTTCGTGGATGCGCACTGCTGAAGAGTCGCATAATAGGACGAAACGGCCGTCCAGTGTTTCCAGGTTTTCCATGATGGTCTAGCTTCAATTGACTCATGCTTTCTACATATATATTGTTCATTCATAGAGTAATCAGTTTATTCATTTGGTCAAATACGAATAGAAAAGTTCCGGGTTGAAGACCAACCTCCAGGATGTCTGGTTGAACTTGGTTACATTGAAACTAAAACATATAGTAAGCTATCAGATGAAGAGTGTTCGTTTACAAAACCTTTACAGTGAAGTACATCTCAGTTAGTAACAATGCCATAATATACATTAGCCAATAGAGTCGTATAATTACCAGGTCAAGAAATAGAGCACTAGAATGTTCGTATTTGAGAATGAGGAATGTTGATGGTTAGATTAGCAAAACCTAAAACATACTCGAACTATTTTTGGTTTTTCGAAATTCGCTATTTGTGATCTGAAGACCGAAAATTTCAGAACTTCTAAAATTACGCTATTACAGTGTTACACCATATTGAGACTGAACAAATACCCTTGAAGACCAAAGTAGTTAACGTAACTAGATCAGCCTCATTTCCGAATTCGGGTTACTTGAATAATTCCTAATTTTAGAATGAATTATGGGCGTTGATGTAAATACATCATATTGGTGATTGTTTCATCAATAGATAAAAACAAGTTAGCAACATGTCAGCTGAAAGACATCGCCAATATCAGTAAAACAAAAAATGTGTTAATGGAATTTGGAATGTCATGGAATCACTTGGAAAACATGCACAGCTAGTGAGGCATTAATGTTCACAATATTTCTTATTTTTTGGAAATTGGTCGACTATCTAATTCCAAAAAACTTTGCATATCACGAAATATATATATTGTTATATGGTTTCTTATGATGGTATCAAAACTTACGAATCAACAATAGATTCTTTGCACAAATAAAAATTATCGAATTTTGATTTGGTTATACTGTCGCTAATATTCATAGCTGGCACTCCCAATGTGCCAGATTTCACGTACTGATAAAGACGATGAACACCTGTCACACTTTCCTCAACTATTCCACATATACCAGTCAGTAATTCCTTGTAATTTTTATGCAGCTGATGAGTTAAGTCGCCACCATCATCCAAAACCTGAGAGATGAATTGGAATAGAATATGAAAAATTAGAATAAATCACTAATTTGTTTTAAAAGAAGATCAATTGAATAGAACTCTCTACTACACATCGACTACCTTGATTGAGAGAGTATTAGACAGTGTGGATAGGAGAACATTATGGAAACTTCTTCGACACTATGGTGTACCTGAGAAAATCGTCAACATCATCATTCGGAATTCATACGATGGACTAAATTGCAAAGCTGTGTATAGAGGAAAGCTCACAAACGAATTACAAGAGTGATGTCAGACAAGGCTGTTTACTCTAACCCTTTCACTTTTTTCTGTTGGTTGACTGGATTAAGCCAAAAAGGATAAAATGCGTAGCTGTGAGAGTCATCAATTAGATCTATCGTATACATTTGAATACGAAATAAATCCTGTATAATTAATATAATAAGTAAACTTTAGTGTTTGAAAAAGAACCATTTAATCCGAGATTCTTCATCGTACAAATAATATTTACTGTTTATAATTAGAAACAATACTACTAATCCTAAACTAGACAAATTTAAATAAAATTATTTTAAATTTGTACCGCAAGACCTATACATGTCATTATGATCAACGATGATCAATTTGATCAGAAGTACAAAAAAGAAACCGACAAAAATTTATGTTAACGTAACCCTATAGAATACGAACGAAAATCAAATAACCATGTACAAATAAAAATTAAGTGAGTGAATGAATTGGAAAATAATCTTTTTTTTAGAAAAAAAAGACTTGATTAGAAATTCAAAAGATGAAAACCAAGTAAGTATTTCTTTGCAGCAGAAATAATTAAATAAATAAAAAACTGAAAATTCGGATTTACTTTACAAGTCATAGTAAGTTGAATTCGCTCACAATAACAGCTTAACATAAAGGTCAATTAATATAAATTTGATCAAAAGCAGAGTATATAGAAGTATCTAAATAACACCATAATTTATAATCGGAACCAATTACAAGTTAATCTCCAACGAAAATAATCTATTATACTTTCAAGGGAAATTACCAACTAAAATTAAACTTATGGCCTTTTTCTAAGGAAAAAACAGCACTTATCTTTTCTAAAGATTAGGTTGTAATGTTATCCGCCATTTATAACATAATTATGAGTTTATTTCACTAATATACCAACGATGATGCCTCTTTGTTCATCAATATTTTTCTTCAGTAAACTACGATAGTAAGAATTAACAACAACTCTATTATTTCCTCTCAAAGAAAAAAATATAAACCATTTGTGAAAAAAGTTTCCTTTGTCGATTACATAATTAAAGTTGTGGAGTTCCACGTTTCTTAAACATACCAAATCAATACGTTTCTCATGAAAACACACCACTCAAATCAAAACAACAAAAGATTTTCAAAAAATTCAACGAACGAAGTAATAAGTAGAAGGAATAAAAACATCTGACATACTACATTGGGTATCCAACCCTCAGCAGATATACAACGATTAATACACCACCAGAAATCCTCTTCAGTTTCACCTTTCCATGCATAAATAGGAACACCGGATTCAGCTAACGCTGCTGCTACTTCATTCTATAAACAAACAAAAAAATATTTTAGTAGTAATAAAAATATTTACACAGTAATACCAGTGTTGATACAATGATAACAATATCCACGAACATTAAAAAGTTGATAAATCTTAGGCATACAAAGATGATTGTCATGTTATTATTACTGGGAAAATAAAACAAATGACAGTGAAAACTAGCAGCATTAGGACGGCTGCTAAGTTCAGGTAATTCAAAAGAAATGTGTTCATTAAAATTATCTTACATGTTTTCATTGTGTTATTTATGAGTACAATACGAAAAAGACGATAGAACAGTCAACAATTAAAAGATCTCATATTTTATAGACTACTTCTCTGCCAGTCAATGATAACAAGGAAAAGCTAAGAGAGATTAAGAAACCAGTACGCTATGTATGAAACTTTCAATAATTTAAGCAACCAAGTAAATTTTAGTTGCTTAAATGATTTATTATAAGTGATTGAAGTGTTTTAATTTATAACTGAGTAGAAAGCATCAATGGAAACAGTATTGGACTGCACAGTTATATTATTCAGCACATGACGATGGAAATAGGCACAAATAGCTTTTTCATAGACTAACAGTAGATACCCTTTGACATTACATTTGAATACTATACACAAACCATTAAATACACGAGTTTTCCTTTTCTTGCAAGAAAACAACAGAACAACTTTGACCTAGAGAATTGTCTTGTTTGCTTGTTCTTATTTATAAGTCTATAAGTTACAACTTCAAGAAAAGTTATAGTCTGATTTGAAACAGTATCAAGTCATTAAATCACATGACAATGTCCTAGTATGATATATAATAATCAAACTGTTTTTCACAATCAACAGAGCACAATGACAATTAATGATTGGTGAAATAACAACAAAGACTAGAGTAATCTGGAAACACAAATATTGTGTTATTAAACTTGACTTGATAGTTTCAAATAAATTAGACATTGGGTAAATTGTTAACTAGTAAAAACAATATATTTGTAATATCTCAATGAGTTAGTTGTGAGTTTATTTTGAAAATATACCTACTTTAGTCAAAAATACTAAAACTGTAAGATTTCGCACAAACGAGGCTATTTTATTTCTTATCATCTTTCTTCATTAAACATTTTTCGAATCATTAAGATATTACAAATATATTAATTCTATTAGCAATCCATTATTAAATACCAACACCTGAAACGATGAACAGTTTTCTCAAAAAATTTTTTTAAGTTCTACAATTGTACATATCCAGGTTAAATAGTGGCCAAGTTTAGGGCAAAATACATCTAATTCATATTATTTATTCTGATCATTATTATTATAGTTTCATTCACTGTATAGGCTTATTCAAGTTATTGCTAGATTTCAACAGTAAAATTCATGAGTTGGTCTAAAATAGACTACCATTGAAAACCTGGAAGTACTGGACGGCCGTTTTGTCCTAGCAAGAGACTCCTTAGAAGTGCGCATCCACAATCCAACGAGCATGATGCGGACCCAGGACCTTCGATCTCGCGCACGAACGCTGTGGGAATAAATTCAATCTCCACAAATTTACATGCCGATAACATTAGGCATTAATCATTTCAACATTCACAATTTAACTTATTTTCCAAACAATCTTAAATTTGTGTGTCATAAATTTATTTCGTTTTAAATCTGGTAACTTTTTGAACTATTAACTATATATAATAGTAAAAGATGAGAATTTATTGAAAAGTATATTCTTCGTTCATATATTATTAAATAATACTGATATAGGCAAACATGACAATAAACTATACTTCACATTGAAACTTGAGTTCCAAATGATTATTGCGATAGAAATACAGTGTAATTGTTTCATCAAATATACGTTTTGATTAACAAATAACTATCGAATTGTAGCGAAACAATACACATATATTTAACTAATTGTCTGGACCATTTAATTTATGAATAAACTACTGATTTAGCAGTACATTTGTATTTGGCACTAATAAGTCGTCTGGTAGAAATATTTTTTGGGCGAAAAAGATTTAAATAAGTCATTTTTCATCGTCATTGCACACAGCATGATATAAACTAAATCATGAAATTTAACAACCGAATAGAAGGATATGAGATATGTCAGTCAAACGGTAAAACAATATTTTGTTGATGCTTATTTTTCGACATCGAAACTTGTGAGTGATTTTATGTCTGTGAAACTTTTCACTGAATAATTTTCAAGCAAAAGATATTTTTAGACACAGTGGAGTAGACAGCTAGTAGACGAAATGAAGACTTATTGACATAATTCGTTGGTATCTAGCAAACACTAGCTCTGAATTAATTTATTTATGACTTTAAAATATGAGAGAGAAATTTCTACAACGTTCATGATTACGAATTGTACAGATCATACAGTAGAATACGTTAGTGGAAAAAAAACTGCATACGACAAATTCTTCAAGCAAATACAATTCAAAAATATTGAAAAGGGAACTTTCCTAACATGACCAATACACAAAAGCAAAAATATTTCTTACCTGTGTTGAATATATGTTACAAGCACACCATCGAACTTGGGCGCCTAGACATACCATTGTTTCAAGTAGTACCTAAGTGACAGAAAAAAATCTTTTTAAACGACTAAAATGTGCATTTAAACAAAAATGTAGAAATGAGAATAATTCATGTGAAGAAGATTAAAGGGATTGTCATCATTAGTTAATCCTTTTCGAAAAATAAAATGATAGAATTACAAGTAAAAAATATCATTTTAGGTCGATTGTTCTTAATCAATCAACCATGTTAGAATATACAGGCAATTGTCCAATAACCAGAAGGAAAAATGAAAATGTAGATAGTTTGATATTAACAACCAACTTAGTTACAGGACTTACAAATGGAAGTGTTAATATCAAATTATGAAAAGTCTTGGAACAAACACAATATGACTTAAACTTGCAACGAAATGATCTACGCAAATAATTGACAACTGAGTTGTTTTAACACTGTCAAATTGACTAATCCTAAGTATTTACATATCTACAGATACTTGGATACATTTACAATATTTAAACTAGGTAATTAGTATCCGACGATAGTAATAACTTTGAACTGTTACCAGATTGCTCTGGTAGATAATTTGTAAAATCTGTATGCATCAGGCTTCGTATTTTCTATACAACTTTTTAGGCGAATAATAACTGGAGCTTAGAAGTGATGGATTATGACCAGCGGTGGGATTTAGGACGCATGTTTTATTTCATCCAAGACTCGATAACTCAACGTACCTGTATCTCAGCGTTTACACTGGGACATCAACTACGTACATTTCACTTCTAATGACTAACGTGCCATCCACTGCGCTATTGAGTTTAGATAGCTATTAACTCGTTTAACGGGTATAATGTTTGGATCATTACTACTCTTATTACTGTTGTTATTATCATCATTAGAAAGAGTTCGAGTTATCCCGTTGTTTACGTATATTTATCTTCCGAGTACCAAATACGACGAAACGCATGTTCTGGAAATCAATGTTAGCCACAATCAATCTATTCTGAATAAACTGTGATGTCACAGTGGCATATGCTACTTATGCTGACACATATATAAGTAGTATGAAGCACCAATCAGAAGTGGAAGCCTGGCAGCGGATGATTGAGATGAATAGTACAGAAATAAAGTCAGGGAGCAATTGAAATAACAACAGAACTAGATGAATGGTTAAGTAAGTAAAGGACAACGCAAAGCTGTGCAAATGATGTATTTAATGTGCGAGCTTCATATTTCACCGAGCCACTGAGTGATTTTGTACTTATAATAGATTTATTTATTTATGTAAACACATAAATATTGGTACAAGGATGTACCAGGTACATATGCGCTGCATAAATCTCATTTGATTTGTGCGAGGGCTGTGATATTGCCCAGGTGCCCAAACTGAAGCAGATTAGATTAGTTTCCCTATCTGGGCTCTCGTTCACTACATAATGTCTATATTGATGTTATACGTTTAGGGTCCACATGTACCAGCAAAAACTAATCGAAATGCAGTACTAACTATTAACCGAATAAATCAAACCAATGGAAATGGTGATATTGTGATGTGTGCTACTGATGTCAACAGATATAAATAGTATGTATCATCAATCGAAAGTGGAATGCCTGGCGGCAAAAGGTTGAGAAAATCGAAAAGAAGAGAACGAGAACAGAGAGTGATTGGTATGGAAACGAAGTAAACAACAAATTCTGAGACAATTGATGGGTATTTTGCAAATGAAGTATCTAATGTATGGTTCTCAGATTTTACCAAGATATTCTGCAGTGTGTTAAAATATATTTGGTTATCCCCACTTGTGTTCTTCTTCACTACAATATAAATATTACTGGGATCTCAACTGTGAACATCATTTCATACCCATTATTTACATTTTTCGAATAAAAGTATGATATCAGTGTACATAAATATCTGTTAAACGTTAAAGAATCACACCATATACAAATTACATTAGTGAAAACTTTAGCTATGTAAATTAAATTATTTCATTTTCCACTCAATAATTCGATATTAGCTTTTCCAAGCGGAATGAGTTTTCAAGACATTTAAGAATCAGTGACCAAACAAAAAAAATACAAATCCATAGTGTACATAATAATCACTTAAAACTATCTAAATACAATGTACAAAACATAAACAAATCTCGCGGTTAAAAATCCTCACTTACAGCTGTATGCGCGGTCACATGTGTACAACCGAGAATTTTGGCTCCTTTTAATGGCTGATCAGTTTTAGCACGCTTTCTCAATGCCATCAAACCAGGCATTTCTTAAACAAATAATCAAAAAAAATTTAACCATATGGGAATAAAGTAAGTGGTAGCTCGTTAGTTTCATTAATTGATAACAATCCATATTAACAAACGAATATATATATATAACATTTAAACAAACATAAACCACTATTCTAAATAAAAGAAATTTGAAAAATATTATCGTTAAGATTAAGGTAACTAATTTGAAAAGTTCAACATCCTATGTAAATAATAATTATATCCGTATGTGCGTATATATCTCCCTATTCATGAACCTTTAGTTCCTACAGTAAAAATTTATTGACAGGATTTCTTAATGTCAAATAACATTCAATAAGAATAGAATTAGTTATAATGATAGTAAAAATTTTTTAAAAAAAAGGCATATGACTATTTTAAAAGTTTGATTTTTGTTACCTTAACCGTATAAAATGTCGAATAAACAACATATATAAGCCTATATACGCACATATTTTTATTCAAGTTGAATAAATATAATATATATACTTTTAAGAATAGAGAAATTAATAAAAAGTTAATTATATATATTATATTTATTATGATCATGTTATTAAAAAGTCAAGTGATAGTAATTAATGATTTTAAAAATATGGGTGGATACTATTTTTGAAAAAATCTGTACATGTGAATAATACTATCTTATGTGTTATTGAATGGGTAACATGTGGAGTGACAAAATATGAATAGAAAAAGTTTTATGATACGAAAAATAAAACAAACTAAATGTGTGTATAAATTCAACTTAGTATTGTTTGTTTGATTCCACTGCTAGCCACTATCCATCTCTGCTATCTATCTCTGCTAAATGTGTGTATGTTTTTTCAATCACTGTCAATAAGGACAATGTAAAATATTAATTTACAAAAATAACACGTGTCTTGATGAATGTAACAATTATAAAAGCTATGAGATTAGTTATGAACTTCATTTTAAGGATCTACATACTATTATAAGATGGTAGATAAATACCAGTTTAAAATTGGGCTTTTTAAATAATGAACTAGGAAAAGTTCAGTTGGATTGACATACGAAAGTATTATTTTTAAAGAATTAAAAAAGTTTCTTTACTAATGAAACATAATTTATCAAAAAAAGGGAACATAAAAAACAATTAAAAAGACAACAGTGACGTTAACAACTGCTCCTGCAATCAGTTAACTGTTAACAGAAAATATTGTAAATTTGACGAGATCATTCACTGGAATAAACACACAAACAATAGAACGGTTAACCATATTATCACATATGGTAAACAAGGATTAAACACGTTGATGATATTCTATACTTGCTAGTGAGTTGCTAACAAAGAAAATTGACTTAATTTAAAATTGAATTAACTTATTCACCAGGTCCTTGGTTATGAGCCGCCACGCTCTAAATTTGAAGGATTAATGATAGTAAACAGTTGCTCCAACCCGAAGTAGAAGAATGGGGGTTCGAACCTGGGACTTACTAACCAAAATTCAAAACCCCATAAACACCAAGCCACCGTTTCACTCTATCGTACAAGTGTATGAATAAATACATCAAGTTAGTTACTTATTTAATTATCAGACAACCGTTTACTTTGGGATTCTGTATCATTAATATATAATTTTGATGAGTAAATGTTACTAAGTAACAATTCAGCTTAGTTTCAACTAACTAATAAGTAAATACAACCCCATGAATGTATTACATGCTTCTGGTATAACAATGCAACAATTACAAGTGGAGACCTGAACATTGACGATGATTTTAACTAAAATAAGTATAGAAACTTCAAAAGTACGATGGATATACAACCAAGTTAATAATAGACAGATTAACAAGCGAGCTTCAATTAAAAAACGGTAGACAAATTGCATGTCATAATATCTGAAATGAAGTTGACATTATCTACAAATGTAAGGGCGAATAGAAATTTGTACATCACAATTTTCAACAGATTCATTATTTCTCATCTCGACAGTTGGTAGAAAATTAACAAATTTTTCTGAACGTTATGTGATATCTGTTAACTATTATCATTTATTACCTGTGACTTTATTCATACAAATTAATTGATTTCTAATAATTACAAAAAAAATTAAAAATAACATTTGTGGCGGAATATCGTAAATTCATTTATTTCGTAGATTTTCTTAAACTTTACAATGTTACCGAAATCGAAAAAAGGAGATATCCATACTTTTATCAAGTCCCTTAGAAAGGTAGCGTCAACGACGTATACAAAGAAGGATAAAAAGGAAGATAGGTAAGGCTCACTAATTTCCATACAATTATGTAAATATTTGTTGGGGATGTCAAATCCCCAGAACTTACTAAGTAAATGGCTTAGTTTTGTAATTTTATTTTGGAAATTTGAATTCAGCTGTTTTCGCGCCAAACGCGCTCTTTTTAACTTCACGTCATATTTCCCACTTGTAAACTATCTTAACGCTATTGGTCCATTGTTTCTTTGTGCGTGCTATTTATTTATGATGCTCAAGGACAATTTGTTGCTGTATAAATGCGCTTGACTTTTTCCCTTATTTAATTGCTTGTACTCGGCTGCTTACGGAATACATACATCCCCCTACTTGCTTTGGACTTCTTTATCTAGTTAGCGGGGCCTGGGACAACAGATTAGAATAGCTAATCGTGTCACTGTGTCATTGGCTTTCGTTCGTTACCACGGAATCGAATTAGTTCAAGCATATCAATACTTTAGAAAACAGAACTGAGAACAGCATAAAGTAAAGTGGTTACTGAAAGTAGAACAATAACCTAACAGATTAGGTAAATCCAGTGATAGGAAAAAGTAGGCCAACTTACAGGGTAAAATCAGCGAAGCTTATACAATGAGCGAAAATAATTGCAGGTGGATTAAAAGAATATAGACGATCCAGATGCTTTCGATTGCAAGCAGCTGGATTGACAAAATGTAATAAAGTCACATTATTTTTGTACCAATTTTATTCTCTAGCTACATTGAAATTCATAAAAAAGGGAACAGCATAATACTGTAATTACCTTGTTCAGCTATTTCAATTTCTCTACGTCCAAAAGAAGCTTGACGGATTTTTTGAACACAGAAATCATTAAATCCTCTAGAGTTTACCTATTACGAGAAAGAAAGAGCCTTTTTAATAGATAAAAAAGCCAGTCATTGAAATAGTACGTACTAAAATTGGAAATTTCTGCTCTAAGTTGTACTGGAAAGAATCAACAAATACCTGTTTAACTTTCAAAGAAAATTCAAATAAAAATGGTTCGCGTCGCTCCTGTAACAACTATTGGGGGATAAGTCGACTTCCGATTGCATCCAAACTATTGGGTTCTGTCATTCTTCGTAGGTTGTTTAAAACCCGAGAACGATTGACTCGCGAGGAGCAGGCTAGATTTCGTTTTGGTCGAGGATGCATTGATCATATCTTCACCCTCCGCCAAATGTTAGAACACCGTCATACTTATCGCAGGCCAACAATCGTAGTGTTTCTTGATATCAGGGCGGCCTTCGATTTGTTGGGTAGGACTGTTCTCTGTGATTGTCTATTGAAGAAGGGTTTACCTGAGAAGTTTATTAACATCTTAAACGTCCTGTATACAAATACCTCAGGCAGAGTGAGGGCCTACAACCACCTTTCTCCCTTGTTCCCTTCAAGCAGTGGGGTTAGGCAGGGTCGCCCAATCTCACCATTCCTCTTCAACTTTGCCATCGACGACATTCTGGAAACAGCTCTGATATATGTAAGTAATGGTGGTGTGGATCTGTTGCCTAGAGAAAGACTTTCGACTTTGAGTATGCGGATGATATTGTCTTACTGTGCGATAATGCTCATGCCATGCGATCCACACTTAATCAGTTGGCAATCAGTGTCCGCAGGTACGGTCTGTGCTTTACACCTTCCAATTGCAAAGTACTTTTACAAGACTGGCAGGATTCTCATCCTGTACTCACCCTGGATGGTGAGCAGATTGAAGTAGTTGAGAAGTACGTGTATCTAGGTAGCTACATAAGTGCTGGTGGTGGCGTGAGTGATGAGATCGATGCAGGTATAATGAAATTCAGAGCGGTTTATGCCAATCTGTGCCATCTTTGGCGCCTTCGTGATGTTAGTCTGGTTGTAAAAGTTCGGATCTACAACGCGTCGGTGAGAGCAGTTTGGCTCTATGCTTTTGAAACCTGGTCTCTCCGAGTTGAGGATGTCAGACGACTCTCTGCGTTCGATCATCGTTGTCTCCGAAGGATTGCTGACATACAGTGGCAACACCATGTTAGTAATGCAGAGGTTCGACATCGTGTGTTCGGGCGCAGAGACGATAATCCAATTGGTGTCACCATCTTGAAACACCGACTTCGGTGGCTTGGACATGTTCTACGAATGTCGTCCCAGAGAATTCCAAGTTGTGCATTATTTGCCGAGGCTGGAACTGGTTGGAAAAATAGGAGAGGTGGTCAGTGTATGTGTTAGCGCGAAATAAACCGGATTAAGGAATGTTATGTGCATGATCGTGATGGCGCACGCTGATTGGCTAACTCTAAAACAATCAGCTCTGGCAAATTATTGGAGAAACATCTGGAAGCTTCTTATGCATATATATGAACCTTTTTCTTTCGATTGATTGCTGTTCACCTACCCTTGTTATTTTGAAAACAATTTCGTTCCCGTTCAACATGTTCTGATTTTGGGGTCTTGTCGAGTGGCATCGTATAACAACACTACGCAATAGGAATAGCTGGGTCGTTTATTAGAATACAATTATAACAGTATGACATGGTGTCGTGTTATGAAAGAAAGATGCAAAGGGATGACTTCTGTTGGTCATTCACGACTCCTTGGCTGTGGTCCAAGAGATGGTGCAACACAGTGGCTAGAGACGTTATCAGATATGGCTCAGAATAGAAGCCAGTGGTGATCCTACTGTAACCTTCCTTTATTTTCTTTATAAAGAGTGGTCATGACCTCCTTAACTGAAACAGATCTTCTGGTTGTACATTACAGTTTCCCCATCATTACTCTTATTTTTTTAAATATGCATCTTATGCCTTTTCTATTCACATTCTCATTGTTTTGTGGCGCATACATATCTGGTGCCCACTTGTACCAATATTTATGTGTTTAAATAAATAAATAAATTGATAACAGAAACCAAGGTTTGATTATACACCACCACTACTGATTAAACTAATAATTTGTCAACGATCGGTAGCTAATTTATAAGTGACAGTTAGGAAGTAGTATTTGACAAAAAAATTGGAAATAAACATTAAAGATACAGAACCAAACAATTTATAAAAATATTACGTGACCATTTATTAAGAAAGCAGTGGCAGTTAGTGACAAAATGTAGAATCCCTAACATAAAATATGATACTGACACACGAAGCTAACGACATCTGGTTTCAATTGCGTAAAGTGTATGCTTTTTTCGTTGAGGCAAGAAAAGAGAGAAAAATCGTAAAGTCTCTGTAGCATACTATTTCATACAATTTATAACACGCTTTTACTTGCCTATTTCGAGATTTTGTAAAGCTAAACTATGCGAGTGAGCTTGATAAACTCTAGATGATTTTTTGATTCATTCAGGCAATCATAAAAATAGCGAATATAAGTGATTGAAATAAAGTTCTAGGACTAAAGTTTAGGACATAAATTCGGAGTTTAACCCTTTATCACAAATTGACATCAACTAATATACAAGAATGTTTTGTCCCATTATGGAAAGATGAGCTTCGCACAAAAATCGGAGAACTAGTACTACTCATAACATTAAACCCTACATTTAGACTAAAACACACATGGTCAGAATATTGAATTCCGATAACAAAAGTCTTATCAATGGTTAAACATTGGAAATAGGAGGTCAAACACGGGTAAATAGGCTTAGAATAATCTTCACAAAACATTAAAATCATTGCGTAACAAGAAGTATGTAAATAATTAGATAGTGAAGAATACAAACGGAAAGAGGCTGAAAATTACAAATAAATAACGGATGTGAAAATAAGGCTAATAATAACAAATTTTAAAATTTTAAAAAATATTAATGTCATTTGCTAAGTTATATCCGGCCATGGAAGAGATAGGGTGTTACAAATTTCTTCTGTACACATAAATTGGGGTGAAATGTACGAATTCCTATGGCTTCACCTATGCGAATGAGACGGGAACGAACTCCGTCGGGAAATGATGAAGGTATACGGCAGATCATTTGAAATGATTTCGATTTATCTACATTATGACCACTATCAACTAGATGTGCCAAGATAGAACTGCGTATTGTTTTTATCCGGCCCTTCCCAAACCATGCTGGTAGATGTTCACTCATTCGTTGGTTAAGTTGCCTAGTAGTACGCCCGATATAGCTGTCTCCACAGGAGCAGCTGAACTTGTAAATGCACATAGAGGAGGCCAACTCAGGTAACTTTTCGTTCGTTTGAGTAGACATCGCTGGTCGACTCGAGAAAGTCAACGCAAAATTGGCTGCGTAGAATGTCCTGCTAATTACTTTCGTTAACCTATCTTTCAGAGTATCGCTAGTCACATTCCCGTTGAATTGTAGTTTCATGTATAAAGGTTTCTTTCGAACAGTTGAAGACTCAGACTTCTTTCTTGTATCATACATGAACTTCTTAGTGAATGCACTAGGGTAGCCGATCTCTGTCAGTGAGTTATTGATAAATCCCAGCTCCTGGTTTAAAGTATCTACTAAACAGATCTTTTTTGCTCTACTAGTGAGGCATGTAACCAAATTTCTCTTATATCGGATAGGTATGAAGCTATAGAAGTGAGTATATTGGCAGGCAGATGGATTTTTTCTATACACACTTCTACTTAACGAGCCATCACTTCGCTTGCTTAGTGTGACGTCAAAGAAATTCAGCTTATTGTCACACTCGCCTTCACCAGTGAAACTAACCGCTGGATGTACACTGTTGAACTGTCCTAGGAGTTTGTCCTTACTGGTGTTCTGATATACGACAATGAATAAGTCGTCGACGTAGCGGTAGTACAGATCAAGCTTCTTAATAGCCTCCTTAATTGCTCCATTTTCTAGCTTAGCTAGGAAGAGATCAGCTAGAATCGGGCCTAGAGATGAGTTCATGGCTATCCCGTCTATTTGTCTATAATAAGTATTGTTGAAGACAAAATGGACCTTCATCGTACATCTTAAGAGCAATTCCTTCAGACAATCTTCAGGCAAGCCAATATTGATTTGTTTTTCTGATATTTGCTCGCATATAAACTCAATAGTCTCGATAAGTGGTACGTTGGTAAAGAAAGATACTAGATTCAGTGAGAACATATTTTTCATACTAGCATTCATATTTTCCACTTTGGAAGTGAAGTCGAAAACATCTTTTACACTCGTTCTAACAACTGATTTGTGCAAGGGCTCTTAGGTTCGCACTAGCCACTTTGCAAATTTGTGGTAAGGGGAATTGTAGATATCTAGAACTGGGCGCAGAGGAAGACCTGGTTTATGAACTTTAGGCAAACCGTATAGTTGCGGTGTATAAGATCCAGTTGGTTTAATGGAATCATGAATCTCTGGTGCAATTATTCCCTTTTTCTTTAGATCCTTAAGAGGATTTGCCAATCGGTTTTCTACTTTTTTAGTGATATCATAATGACTGGTAACTTTTTGAAATTTGCTAGGATCACTAAGCATTGCTTCCATTTTTTCAATGTAATCCTTTTTGTTCATCAGAACTATGCCTCCTTTATCAGGTTTGGTTATGATCAAGGATTGCTCCTTTCTAAGTCTCGTTAAAGAGTCATGGTGCTGCTTGATTAGTAGGTGATTTGTGGTACCCTTGTAATGAAAAAGAACACGGGTGGGGACAATCGAATGTATTTTAGCACAACATTACAGAATATCTCGTTAAAAAATGAGAACCATATAGTGAACAGTTAAATTGCTAAATAACGATCAATTGTCTCAATTTAACTGTTTCTTCTTTTTCAATACAAGAAGAAACAGACATTATTTAGTCGTTATTCAGTCGTTATTTAGCAATTTAACTGTTCACTATATGGTTCTCATTTTTTAACGAGATATTCTGTAATGTTGTGCTAAAATACATTCGATTGTCCCCACCCGTGTTCTTTTTTCACTACAAGGGTACCACAAATCACCTACTAATCAAGCAGCATCATGACTCTTTAACGAGACTTAGAAAGGAGCAATCCTTGATCATAACCAAATGACATTAATATTTTTTAAAATTTTAAAATTTGTTATTATTAGCCTTATTTTCACATCCGTTATTTATTTGTAATTTTCAGCCTCTTTCCGTTTGTATTCTTCACTATCTAATTATTTACATACTTCTTGTTACGCAATGATTTTAATGTTTTGTGAAGATTATTCTAAGCCTATTTACCCGTGTTTGACCTCCTATTTCCAATGTTTAACGATTGATAAGACTTTTGCTATCATCAGAATGGGTTTTTTGTGGAGATTTAATATTTTCATAGTAGAAAGCGCGAGTCCACCAGGGTGTTTGGTACCTGAGTGGTTGCGCCAGCCCCCAAATGCCCTGGTACGGCCGAGAGTGGGGAGAGTCACCTCTCCCTCTCGAAATACTCTCATATGCCCAGCGAATATATAGCCTCTGCCAGGGAAATCCTACTCACTGCCTTCTCGTGGCGGGGGTGTTGTTCACGAAAGTGACAGGGCAAAAAGCGAATGTCCGGCGCTTTAACCGGTTTGGTGGACATGGAAAGTTCACCTAGGGGAGTTGGAAAACCCTGATTCCAAACCAGTGGTGCACATGGGCTCCAGTATCCCGAGGGAACAAATGGCGTACGAATCAACCGTTGATCACCGGCTACCATGGGACTGCATCCCCTCACGATGCTCCACTGCCTTGTGGATAAGACATTCAGGTCAAAGGCTCCAGGTGTGGCCCCCTAAGAAAACCACCTGCTTCAGTCTAGGCACCTGGGCAGTATCACAGCCCTCACACAAATCGAATGAGATTTGTGAGGCGCATATTTATCTGGTGCTTCCTTGTACCAATATTTATGTGTTTAAATAAATAAATAAATAAATAAAGACAGCGTGAGTCAATGTAATATTTAACTTAATATTGTTACTATCTATTCACCTGTCTTCCCACTACCAATTTGTACTTTTAACTATTATGGGCGGAGACGTATTGTATTTCATTGTGATTATTGACTAAAACACTAAAGTCTAAACTTTAGTCTTAACTCAAACTTAAATATCTAACGATAGTTTACTTTTTTTAAACTAATCATTTACGTTTGATGGACAACATTCTGTTTCGATATGTGCACCGTAACCTTGAGGCAACCTGTGTGTTGTGTGGGTATTCCCGCTGTCACACAAATCGAATGAATTCTGGTTTATATATTTTTTGATACTTCCATGTACTAATGTTTAAGTGTTTAAATAAATAAATAAATAATTTTCATCATTGGCTTATCTCCAATGTTTAGCTTACCGGAATTTGCTGTTATACTGCTGCTGTTATACTTGTGGCCGAGTGGTTGCCTAGTTGATGGGTGAGGTGATGAGACCGCCAGTTAGAGAGCAGCAACTTATCGACTGGAACAGTAACAGTAACCGTACGAGCAGTCTAGAGTACGTATCGGCCCTGCGATCTGCTTAGCCCAGTAAGTTAAGTTCAAAACACCAATAACAGCCTCAGTGGTATGAATCATTGTATTTCGAACATACTGAGTTTATATACCAACCAAACAGACCATATCAACCCATAAAATAGATAATAACATTTGTACAATATTTAGCCGAATGTGGCTGTGAATAGTAATCAATAAACTGATGTTAACTCAAGGATCGTATAATAATAGTTCAAAGGTAAAAATAAAGTTAGTGGTAAGAGGAAACGAATGTGATTAGGTTAATTACAATAGGAAATATACATATTATATTGGCCAATAAATAGTACTCAAAAGTTACCATTCGTAATTCTCTTCGAGATACAACAGATTTTATTCTCGATCATTTTTTATCTTCACCATACTGATAACTTATGACAATTTAAAGTAGACAAAAATTTGTACATGGCTGGCTCTGTACTTTCTTATACATATTGAAAAAACTACTTCAAATTGATGTTTATCAATATCGAAATTTCATAGCTTGGCACACTTTTCAGCTCTTACAATAACAGTAATACTGTATCACACATGCTCCCTGGTTAATAAATAACATTTAACTGAATACAGACAGAAAATAACAGAACTTAAGTTTATGACACTACTTAGTAGAGTATGTAATGTTTGTATACGTTAATTTTCTTCATATCTTTTGAATAAAAACTGTTTTCAATGGAATTTCATCTCACAAATATATCACCTTTAATTTAGTTAACATTGATAAGCCAAGTGTATTTATGTTATGATGCACAATCAGTGTAGTGGTAATGGTACTTTATTTTGTCATGTTCAGTAGGAGACGTTGTAAAACTGAAATAAACCGTTTTAAACTTTAAGTATACATCTATTTACAAATGACGGTTGGTTTGATAGAGAACATATAATCAGATGATAATCCAACAAAGTTCTGTAAATTTTAGTCGTAATAAAAATGCAACGATAGAAGCGAAAACAAATGTGTAAAATTTACATTTTTCTACCAATAAATATACTACCTTTTAATTTCTGAATAACCATCAGACTATTTCTTATTGTCATATTAAACTAGCTGAATGAGAAATATAGGGTGATATATTTTTACAAAACTTACAGCTCTAAGTCCAGGTTTCAAATAACGTTCCTTTGGATTTTCACGTTGTTGACTTTCATCATCATCATCATCTGAACTAGATCCAGTATATGATGCTAAATGATGAAAATCAGATGAATAGCTTAGTTTTGATAAATAGAATGGTATACAAAACAACTCTATAACATACTGATAAAAAGCTAACCTTTAAAGCTGAAGAATTTCAAATTAGAGATGTAATTAACTGAATCACGTTGATCATACCAGGTGAAAGTGATTTCACTATTGAAAAATGATCAGCATGATAGTAAAAAAGAACTGACTAAATCAATTTCTTACAGCGGTTATTTTCCCCCCAATATAATGAACAATTTAGTGTACGGCAACCAATTTTAAACTGATGAAAACTCAAGTGATTACCTGGAGTGAAACTAGTCCACTTAACGTGTCCTCTAGATAAATGTGCTTTTTTGCTTTTATAATAATTCATACTGAAACGAAGCAGACTCAGAATTTATTTAAAAAAAACTAATGAACAAGGATGTGCATCCCTTAAAATTAGGTATTAATTTTCAGATCGATAGTTCAGCATTGAGAAGCAAAACAATATCTACAACAGTGACCTTTCAAGGGTATTGTGTATTGATCCATTAAAAAATGGCTGTTTAATCACGAATGAAAAACAACAGTATTTATATCTCTTTGTGTATGTGTATGCTGTTTTTTTTATCTGAAAGTATAAGATCAGGAAACATCGTTACTGCCGTACAAGTTAAATTGAAAATATATCCTTATAAATATATGATGGTAGTTGGGAAAAATACTGGTTTACAATATACTTTAAACCAGTATTTAAAATTGCAGTTTAAAGCTATACTCCATTATTGATACATAAAGCTTGATCGAAACGTGTTCCAATGTCAATTCGATTGAAGAGCATTAACTTTACACTGAATGAGCAAACAATATAACACCTATTAATTTATTACTTATGAATTAATATTCTGTAGATAGATTAAGTTACTGGATATTTTTGACTAGATGACCTAGTGAATGGAATACAAATTGATTCCGTCTATTCAGTAAAAAAAAGTCATAGTTCATTTAGTACATTGTCAGAGAGTAAACTAATTTCGATTTCCAAAGATATGTCCAAAAATATTCAGACCTACTAATTGAACGAGAAATGAATAATATTACGTCATTACTGTTACGGAATATTAAGTGTTTATGATCGATATTCAGATGCTGATCGCGATTTTTAAAAAAACATGTAACAAGTTAGACAGTATGATCCACAATAAAAATTTTATAAACAAACTATCTACCATAAGTACAGTTCATTTGAACGAATATGATTTATACAAACTTAGGACATAACCAGACACTCATTAAGAAATACCTTACAGTTTAGATGCCGAAATATAAAAACAAACAATATAGTACAATTAATAGTGTTTATAAAAATGAAATTCTAAAACATAAAAGTAACGATAATAAAGGAACAATTCAAAGTAACTGTAACTATTTGACATTCCTAAATTTACATGCTTTAAACGATGTACTTTGCCTTTAACCTGGCCATTTTTTCGGATTACTAATTTGGATATATAATTGTAGAACCTGAAGAGAATTTATCGAAAAGAATATTCTTCGTTCAAATATTAGTCTTGTAACTGTAACAATGAGATATGAGTCTTCATCAAATCAGTAATACAATACAATCATTTACAGTTCACCGATGCTATAAATAGAACTAACTGCATTACATAATTTAAATATCTTCAGGTTACTAGTTTTAATATATGATACTGAGACTGAAGTGTTAAGATTGAAAAATTGATCATGACGATGCAGTTGCATTTAGCTTGTAAGCTCCATATATCTAATATATGAACTACAGTTGATTTATTCCTTGTTCTATAACAAGGCCTGTCTATCTATTCATTTCTTCGGATTTCTTCTGTGTGCTGCTTTGAAATGTGGTTAGGTGAATCTTAGGTTCTACAATCATATCTACCAGTACAAAACACCTAGATAAATACTATCTGATTTAAAGTAAAAAACCTTTATTTGCATCCCATGATAAACGACTGACAGCACAATTGTCAAAATCGAAAAAATTCATGAAACTATTTGTGGTAGAATTTCAAAAGTAAGGTAGGTATGTGATTATATTCCTTGTTTAAGAAATACAGTTATATGATGCTATTTATGACATTTCCGGAAAACAAGAAACAGTATAAATTATGTTCATCCTAAATGGAATTGAAATGGTTAAGACAAAACTTTACAACAGAATCCATAGAAATAAACTACAATGAAAAGACTGATAACATCTGATATTAGGATTTTGTAGAAAAATTTCGAACATACAAAGACATTCTAACTTATAGAATGAACAAATTTCTAAGTCAACACATAATGATGAGTACAGGAATTCACGCAAAATTAATAATCAAAAAGGAATTTTATTGAGAATCAATTGATATGAAATCAATAAATAAATCAATTTTTTCAAGACAATAGATGCTAATAAAACACTTAATTTGACATCTTTAACAATTTTATTTGTATACTGATTTCGATACAGATTTGGTGTCACTATGAAATGTTACAACGTTATTAGAGTACATAAGGTGAAACAAAATCAAATAGAGAAATTCTTTACACTTTATTAATCAGTAATTTGGTTCTATTATGTAGTCTGAACCAAGGTTTAGGTAGATCTGGGACAGTATTTTGATCACTAGGATCGTTGACCATGGTGAGACTTGAAGTCGAGAGAGGAAGTTGAAAGTCGAGGTAGGAGGAATAATAGGAATCGAAGAGGGGAAATGATTATGAATACAGTGGTTTTGAGTGTTGTTAGGGGCATGAGGATGGTTATCACTTCCCGGTTGCCCAAATCGTGGAAAGGATATTCCAGAGGTACCTGAAAAAAAACTGGGTTAGAGTTGATATTAGTGACCTGAGAGCGTAACAGCAGTGCCTGGGAGACAACTGCATGGGGCCAGTCACACACGACCTTCTTGTGGGTAACTTCTTTGCTAGCCCCGTACTTGTTGAGACCCTACGGACGGAGACGGATATCTATGGGATAAGGCGAGGTGTGCAATTTGAGGATCAAGTTTTCTAACCCACCCTTCCTTTGTGGGAAGGCAGCATAGCTGTAATCCTGGTTGTCCGAAGGAAAGCTTACTGCCATCACACCTCTGCACAGTCACACTATATTCTATTAATTAACTTAAACTGAATCCAACTATAATTAGTCAACTCAAACAAAATAACCACTCTTCTAACTAAATAATGAATAAACATAAATTAATCCAGTGTTAAATTGGAACCAAGTAAATCTAAAAAGTTTATAAGTTATTAAAATAGGGTGAAAAATGTGAATAATTAACAATTGGTAATTTTTGAACTGACGTCATGTTTGTATCCTTGACACTTCCGTACACTTTGCAAACAACCTGAAATTCGGTTCCAATTGTTACAAGTTGACGAAAAAATCACTATTATTGACTTGGTCAAGCATTTTGAAAAAAATATCACTAAATTTATTAGTTCAATAGAAAATGACAAATGCTACTTCCTAACTTAGCAAGAATTTGAAATGCTCGTTTAAAGACGTGTATCAGTAATAGAAAATTATTTAATTCTTGTAGGGTGATCCGAAATAAAAGAAAGCACTTCATAAAAAGTATCATTTCGATTAGAAAGCTCTCTTTTATGAACAAAAACAGGGAGTTGTGCCCACATTTTAGAGTTGCAGAACAATAAGGGAGTAATATAAAAATAAATACTCACAGTCATCTTGACCGGATGAAATTGAAGACAAAGAAGGATGTTGATTTTGATGATAAGCTCGTTTGTCAATTAGGACACTAGAACGACGTTTCTCTCGACTTTTATAGCTTGAAGTACTATCACTGTTGGTTAGGCTTCCAGCTGGTACTAAACGAGACCCAGGCGTACAAAGTTTAGGCAGGTCATCAGTCGATACATCACCAGAATCACTGCCATCAAATGCTTTTAGGGTGACTTGACTAGAAGTGAAAGCAAGTTGATCTGACTGTGAAGGATTAGTATTATTTGATCCACGTTCTTCAATGTTATATTTATCACTTTTTGATTCTGACATAACAATTCCTCACGTATTAATTGAAAAAAACGCCAGGAATTTTTTTGTAAAAGTGAATAAATGCTGCTAATCTTTGCCTTACTGAAATAAAAAAGAACTACTTCTGTTAACCAAAATCCGTGTGTGTTTACATCTATGCTTATTGTTTATGGGTGGTGTATTTTCCAAAAACGATGAAAAAGTGAGACAGATATGCGTTTTATTGGTCGGATAAAATTTCCTGAGTGGTCAAAAATTAAATGAAAAGAGGTTAGTTTGATTTTGTATCTCCTAACATTGGAGATTTAGATGCAGCCAATAAGAGGTAGAAACAGGAAACTAGTAAATAAAGTGGTAAAAATTTAATTAATTAAATTTGCTGTAGAAGTGTGTGAGGATAGTTATACAAACAAGAACCATATAGCAGCCTGTATATTGAAATGAATTTTGTCTACATGAAGAACATCAGCACATGAATTGCAATATAAAACCAAACCCAACTAAAATAAATCATTAGATGGTAAGCATTACATTACATTAAAATATATTACTGAAAGTAAACAGGTCAATATTCGTACCATTAATAAGCACAAAACAAAAAGTTTAAATTGATTAATAAGGTGTAATTTTCATACTGATGTAAATGTATGATACTAAATTAGGGCTAATTACCAAAATGAACAGTCGATTCATGGTTTTTGAAGATTTACCATTTCTTCTTGCGAAAACAGCGTAACAAGATTACAGATATGAAAAGGTCAAGACAATGAACAACCTATAAAACTTGCTACTTGAATCACTAACAATGGACATCATACTTCAGTGTTAAATTAACCATAAGTTTTTAACTGACTGTAGACTTAATGCTTGCATACAAATTCTCAGAAGTATATTGGACAGGTCTTTCTAAAGACATTAGATACACTAACAAGGAACGCATGAAATAGTTATTTGCACCCTTCTTAAGAAGTATCGTACACTTTAAAGCCCATA